GTAAAATAAATTATTTTCATCTGTTTCTTCTCTCACTTTCTTCTGAGTACAAGATATGCTTTACATGCTTTTCTGTAATTACGCCTGTTTAAACGTGTTTTCATTGATGACCTTATTTGACAAGCGGTCGATAAATTTGAATTCTAATGCCTATTTTAGTAAATAAGATGGCATTGCAAATGAATTTTAGCTAATAAAGATAGTACTAACAAGGAGTTGAAAACAACATAAAATTTAAATGGAAGTAAACAAAGAAGGTAGTTTGCACGAGGTCCTATTTTAATGTTTTGAAATCTTTGTTGACACACTTGAATGCAATTAGATCAATAGGTGATTGGGAGTTATTTCTATACTTAGATGCCCGTTTTGACTAGTGTGCATTGAAACTTGATTTAACTGTACAGAATGAACATATACTGAAACTGGACCCAGATGCTTAGTCCTAAAAATATGTAGTGAAATCTTCACCTGTACGTTCCTATTTAATCATTTTACCTAATATAGCACACTTCAAAGTCACGTTGTTTAGCGTTACAGTTGTATTGTACTCTGTGGTGAGAAGAATTCTATTTGCATCGATGAACTAAATGGAACCATGATTATATATCTGGTAATTGAATTTGGTTGATAAATGTATTTCTAGATATGTCCATAAATGGTTGATATGACAAGTTGCACTCCAAAATGTTCGTTTCGATCGCTGCCTGTTAAAAATCCAAATACTTATGAAGCAACTTTTTACTTCCAAATATTTAGGTTCTATCTATTATTATACGGTAAGAGAAATTAGGAGTTTTAGCATAGAAAGAAGAACTTATCATTTCCTAACGATATATGAGCACCCTTCTGGTCATAAACAACCTTCGACATGTAGCTTATTGACTCAGTCTTCAACAAACAGGCTAAGAGTTTGGACGTCGCTCTGACTGCAGAAGTTTGAGTGATCAGACAATAGCACTACAGACCACACAGTTAGTGTCACTCCTAGTCTAATGAGTGGACTTGAATGCGATTGTTGCGCTATATTTCCCCATTCCCCGTCACCATATAAATAAATGGTTTTGCTTCAAGTTTATGATAGTTGTAACTTTGAGTGAAATGAAAATTTAATAAGCGTCAAACACTTCGTTCTCAGACTACATAGCAATGTAAGAATAACCACTCTGGGCAGGTAAAATGGTATGCGAACCCATGACTAGCTAGTTAGAACATGACTATAGAGACGAATGATACAAAACTTCATTGAGTCAGATTTTGAAAATTTCAGCTGTGATGTCTATGTATTTGAACGACATCAGTTCCGATCTAATAAAGGTCATAAATATCCTACAGGTTGGCTGTTTACAAGCATAACACCTAGAAACACGATTTCCAACAAGTCTACTGCATACACAGGTATTAATAAAGCGGAGTGAATGTTGAAATGTAATAGCTGACAGAAAACTCTATAATAGTCTGTTATCCAATGAGGATTATATCATCAGTGAGAATCACCCTTTGCTACCGGTGCACATAATCAGGTAATCACATGCAGCTTTGTATTGTGTTTCTATCGTATTAGACGAACAGAAAATACATTTCAAAATGTGCACACAAATCAATGATTATTTAATGTATGGCGTGATAGTTTTAATTTTTCATAGATTTTTAAATAATTCAATCTTTTGGACTTATGGGTGTGGATTACAGTTAAAAATTAAGTGATGCTGTTATCTGTATTTGTACATTTATGTCTGTATGTGTATGGAATATTCACAATGTAGTGAAATTGGTCCCAACTATATCCAGTTCATCTGGTGGAACCTTTTAGATGGAGAAATATGTATGTAATGGTTTGTGTGCGTGTATGCGTATGCGCAAGCATATCATCTTACTTTATTCATCAACTACAATTCCTATTCATTTGTTTATTTTCACTGAAATTAAAACTCTGTCTCAATAATTATGATCATAAATTATTACGTAAACAATTAAGAAAAATTCCAGGTTAATGGAATAGGGATTTGAGACAAGATCATGGTTACCGGTTGAGCATTGGAGATGAAATGAAAACCTGGGTTATGACAGAAATTGAACCACTGATCTCCATCTAGGTTACTAACTGGTAACCTAGAGGCCACTTGTTCTAGTACTGATTCAAATTTTCATTCAACCTTCAACCACCATCTGATGCCAACTACACCAGTTTGCCAAACCACCGCTACCTGAGATATTCTAATTAATAAATTTATGGTCAATTTGGAGGTTTGTGGGGATTTATTGATTGATTTCAAGATGGTATTCATCACGGACCGAGATCAGTTGGATAGTGGTCGCGTTATATTGCGAACTGACAAAAAAAGGAAACTGGAAAACACTAGACTCCGATCCAGTAGTAGTATGCTGTTCGTGGAACCTGAAAATCCTGGGACAGGTTCCCAGCGAGGTTTTGGGGACGCACTGCTAAAGAGTCGTGTACCAGGAAAAACGCCCGTCCAGTGCTCCCAGATTTTCGACAGTCCTCCAGCTGATGTCAGTCTGAGAAGAATGCCAACTTGAAATTAACAGTCACTTAGAAAATGGAAATCGATAACAGACGAATAGCCGTTCGGTACTAGAACACATTATACACTAAGCTAAGTTCCGTGATACCTTGGATTTCAGGGTTCTGCACCTAGCACATTAAATTTTACTGACTTGGTCAATATGCAAGATAACTGAGATATTTGAATGTTCATAAGGGTTGGGTGCACACCTCACAAATTCTTAATGAATCAATGATTGTTGAAGATTAAGCACATTTAACTTTCGTAGGTATTCCATCACCAATATTCTCTAAGCCTAACTAACATGTATCAGAACAACCAAATTGGCGGTTCTGAGACTAAATTGTTTAACTTGGTTTGAATATCTATACATAGTAACCAATTAACCCTAATATACAACGTTAGCTGGCGTAGGTTTAATTTAGAGGTTTTAGGATGACCATTTTCAGACATGTCATTGACGCATCAATCAGCAGCTTATTGGTTTGAGTTGTCTACCAGACTATACACATCTTATTTAGGGTCTATATAATCACTGCCATAAATGATTTGAAAATCTAGTCGATATGAATCAAAACTTGTCAACTTGATGGGCATATATTCACAGTTACTATTGCTTTTAATCTAGTGCATACCACTAAATTTCTCATTCGATGTCTTACGTTCTCTTCTACTAATAGAAAACTACGAAAGTCGATATTTTCATTACTCCACTTATCTTTTCAGTTTCTGAGCGTCAAAAATATGCAGGCCAGGTAGGTACAAATATGTAACGTGTTTAGTTGCTTTTGTTCATGTAAATGGGTTCATTTCCAGCAGCGAGTTAGGTATGCATAGAATATGACTCAAATGTTTTGACAGCTTCATCACCAAGTTACAGTTTTTCTCGGTCACCTAATTTTCGATATACACGGGAAATGATCTCTTCCTTATCGGAACTACTACTAAATTTTTATTTGCTATTGAGAATAAAACTGAACATGCTGTGTTTTATCCTTTTACTAAATTACAATAATAAAATCCATGAGACCAGATATTGACATTAAAATGCAAAAGTCTTCCCATGAAAAAGAAACACAACTCAAATACTAAACTTGGGTGTTGTCAGAAGAAGGGTGAAGTTCTTTAGATGACAAATTGGTTTTCAATCTGATAGACGCAACATAAAATTCTACACAGAAGAGGAAACTTTATTTGTGAAATCTGTTTGATATGCTTTGAGATGTAACGATGATTGTTTCATCATTCGCTCGATTTACGTGTATTCATAATGCATACACCAAGTATCAACTCTCAGATGAAAGTAAACAATTATCGTCATCATCAACAAGTCTACTCCGCTGTTATCACACCTATGTACTTCGTATAAACCCTTCCCAAATACACAAAAACACGATGGATTTAAGACTTTTACTTTGCTGTCCAATGTGGCAGGCTTAGTGTTGCAATCCATTTGGTTTATTTATCGTGTTGACTGCCGAGTAGATTTTAACTGTCAAAGTATACAACTTGGATGATGTGTGTGTTCGCACCACAACTATTAATATTACTAAAATTGGTAGTATTAATAATGATGAAAACTGCCTGAATAAAATCAAACATCGACTTCATGATATTTCAACTACATATGTTACTGGATTTTAAGATAGAAGCTAAATCTGAACGATCATTGGCTATATATATGCTTTCTAGATCCTCACTGCGGAAATCCTCTTTCATACATCTACCTATTGCTACGGTATTTATTTACCTCAAAAAATTGATACGATATGGGTATCTAGAAATAGACAAGATAACACAACGAAACAAATTTATGAAATAAAAGAACTTAGCATATCAGACTAAGTATGTCATATGTATTCTGTAAGCACAGGCGATACTATCTGCTGGTTTCAAACCTATAGGGCAAAGGAGGGTTCGAACGCGTGGTGGGCTGGCTGATACATGAGTACTGATCTCAATGCACGCCAGCTCCCAGAGGTATTGCGAGAGACAGAGAGCAGCAGAAATCTATAACTAACCAAAAGCTTGTTGGCGGTAGGTACAGCAAACACTGTACGATGCCAAAACCAAGGTATTTAGGAGACTTGACAAGCTAGTTACTATCTAGGCGCTGAATCTGAATCCGGTTATCATTTCATCACTATTGATGATGATTAAAGCTTATTAACCAGTGATAACAAAATAGAGACCATAATAAACTAATGAAAATCATACCGAACCACAATACGGTTTAAATTCGGTAGACAGCCTGAGAAAAGACGTAAGATGGAATCACATCTCCACTAAGTTTCATCAGTCAAGGGATTATTATCTTGAAGAAATATGAGTTTCTTAAAGACTTGAAGTTTTCATTCTTAAGTAAAATATAATCAAGAATGAAGGTAAGATATAATCTTTCACACGAAAAGACTTTGAATACGATAAAACTGCTTTATTCATGCTGAATGTTGGCTACTTTCATTTTTTTTTCAGATTTAAATATTTTACACTCAGAGACGAAAGAGAGAATATAATGCTGATGAATCTGAATAACTTTATGCAAACTCTTCTGCCAAAATCTTCAACACCAACAAAGGAGTTAAGTAGAGCAGATTATATGGATGAATCAGCTGACAACAGTTCAATCAAGACTGATTTATTAAATGCTTACACGAACACATTTTCACCTATCTGTAGTCCTACAAAAAATACTACTCACAATAATGCTAGTAGTAAGAATGTCAACAACAATGATAACCAGCCTGTTATATCAAGTAACGAATGTAAAAGTAATGTCGATATTATACCAAATGATGAATCCAGTAACAAGTCGACTAATTCATCTAAGGATCAAAACAGTATAGAAACTTTACAAGGCTATACACTGATAAATAATCAAGATAATTTAGAAACCAATGGATTGAAGATGCGTCTATTGGCTGCACTTGCCGATATGATTCCACACGATGAAAGTTTGAGTTTACGCCTTCTTATGAGTTATACGATTGATGATCAAGAAAGTGAATGTGTAGTTATTGATGAGACCCTATGTCGAGAAACTAAGAGGGAAGAGGTGAGTGATCACAACTCATACTGTCATTTGTCGAACAACACTAAAATCCGTAAGATTCTGGAAGATGAAAAAAAAGCTGAATTAACTGAAATACCTGCGCAATCTTTATTTACTCGAGGTACACCCTTAGGGTCAGTTGCATTAGATTTATCCTTACATACTGAAATATCAGATCCGGTTGATTGTTGTGTCGACTCAGTGCATGCGGCATCACCAAAAGAAGGTAACAATGCAAAATTATCTACAGCATCCTCGAATGTAGACGCTGTTTTAAACGAAATTAAATCATCCCTAAATACATGCTCTACGCCGTTAAGTTTATTATCGACTAGTTTTGGACAATCGAACTTGACTGCTACAAAAGCATCAGAATCAGTAACAACAACGGCAGTTACAACTCCAGTAAATCAAATCCCACAGCTTGACACTACTCTATTAGCTCTGCTTCCTTTGTTGCAGCAACAACAAAGTGCAAATATTTTAGCATACCAAAATGTGGTAAATCCAAATTCATTGTCGTTAATTTCTACTCCTATTTCACAATCAGTAGCAACAGTGAGTAGTGCAAAACAAAATCAAATCCCTTTTAATCTTACAGGAACGTCAACCAATGCTAATCTATTATTCAATCAATTATATGCTTCTAACGCCACGCATATGCAACAAAATACTAATCAAATGAACAACCTACTACCTACTAATTTAAGTAGTATACTACCAAAACAAGCAGAACCCCCAACTACTACTTCACAGGGAAATACAATAACTAGCCCGTTGATGAATAATGTAGCTAATAACCAATCACTCTTGAATTCAGCTTCAATTATAGGATTTCCGTTATTTAATCCATTTTCTATCAATGCTAATAATATCAATAATAGTAGTAATGTTGATAATTTTAGTGGGCTTCTACCACCCACATCATATTTAGGAACAGCATCAACTTTGACGCAATCACACACATTACCACAGTCAAATGTTTCATCATCCAATCTAGGCACAACAAATACAACAGCCACTTTATTCAGTTTAAAGGACAAACAAATTGGGCTAATTGAAACTGTAGGTGTTATGCCAAGTATGAAGAATCTAAACCAACCAATCGCATCTTTGATTAATCAGTTATCAGTCAATTCTTCAAATAATATTTCATTGAAAACACTTTCCACACTATCACAATTATTTGGTAATGCTATTCCCACTAATAATGTTACGGGCAATAGTAGTCCCACTACGAATTTCAATATTACAAATAATCATAACACCAATATTACCATACCAGCTATAATAAGTACAAATGTTAATAATAATCATATTTCACTAGGTGCTGACGATTTAACATTGGCGAAAAATTATACTAAAAAGTCTTCAAGTTCAGGAAAATCATCAAATCGTTCAAGTCCACTGTATTCAACCAACGGGCATACATCAATTACAACATCGAAACTGAATCACTCAATAGAGAATAAAAAGGATATTATGAAGTCTCCAACATCTGTAATACAAAAGAAAGAGTCTACTAATGGTGATAGTGCTGCTAATAACAACAATAACACCAACTTCTTATTCGGTCGTCGGTTAGCGCATAGTCGTCGTTTTATATGTAATCAATGTCGACGAAATTTCTCTTCACTAGCTGAACTAAATAGGCATACAATTGAGGCACACAATTCTTTTCGATGTACAATCTGCTCAGCTCACTTTACACAAAGATCTAATCTACAACGTCATTCTCTTAAACACGTTGGTTTCAAACCGTTCACATGTAATTTATGCAAGAAAGAATATTATCGTAAGGATCATTTAGTCAGACATATTGAAGTTACTCATCCAACACATGATCCTAAAATGAATATCACTGTTCACTTGACATCATCTGAATGCTTAGATTATTTAGACAGACTGCACGCTGGTAAGCAAACACCATCGCCCCCCACACATAGTCAGTCTGATAAAGATATGGCTGTCACTGCTACTACCGCCAACAGTATTAGTAATACTACTCCGGATAAAAGTAATGATAATAAGAACAGGGAGGATGATTTCGATTTAATGAATGATGAGTCAATGAAAATTGAAGAGGCCAAACTAGAAACGCCAGATGTCGAAATGCACAGTGACAACGATAATAATCTTAATACAGATGAAGACGTCGAAGGAGAATGCTGTGATGCAACTAATTACAGTAATGCAGATTAACTAGCCGAGTTAACTGAATGAATATAGTATGGAGTAAATTATAGGGAAGTGAGTTGCTTTTATCCACTGAAACATAATTAGCAATGGATAACCACCGGTTTCCGAGTTACATTTTGCCAATGCAACTAACACAACTACTGATATTGTCAATACTGTCGTCATCCCTCCTACTCATAGTGCATTTACATAGAACAACAACTCTGTATTATGAATAAATCTAAGTCAACCATTTCCACTTCTTCACGCAAATTCTTTTCCATAAATGTTTTTGTAAACATGATATCTTTGTGTTGATACAACCACTCAAATTCACAATGTGCCTACAAATGTGATTGAAGTATGCTTTTTCCTTAGACATATTCTTTTTTCACGTAGACGAACAGTGAGCAGAAAATCAGCATACAATGCAAATTTCAATCATATTATTCCTGTGATTAATTGACCTTCTTGCTCTCCAAATCCTTTTTTATGAAAAATCATAAACTGCCTTCAAAGTATGTTCATCTAACATAAACGAATCCACATTTTCTTCATCATTCCAGTCGAAAAGTGTTTGAGTAGTGAGAGTTGTACCTGAAGGAATACAACACTCAAATCCACTGTTCTTGTTTTGCTTTTGTTTATCTCAATTTTTGCTATATCTTTTTTTATTTGCTCAAATGAATTTGTAATTTTTTGGTTTTGAGAATTTTCTTGTTTACCACTTCCTTCATTCCTGAGTGGTATTACTACTCCTACTGCTGAAAACAAAGTAGTATCGATCAGAATTAAACCAGCTCATTGTGTACTAATGTTTCATGTCCAACGAATCAGTTCTTTGTAATAAAGTTGTTAGAATTTTGTAGCCGAAAATTTCAAAGAACCTGCAAATTGTGTGGTGGAGGTAGTGTTGTTTTAACATTTAAAAACCGTTAACATCTTAGCACAGCAGATACAACCTACCAATCATTTTATGTCCAATCGAAACTTATACGTCTTTAAGTTGAATATTATATATCTACATGTACGAAGATCCCCACCAACCAACCTAAGTGTCAGCTAAATGTCTATTGATTACTTTGTACACCAATATAAGATGCTGAATTATAAGTCCGTTAAAACTATAAAGGTTGAGTGTCGCTGGACTGTAGGCTAATGATTTTTGGGATTCACCTTCTGTTACAAGCATAACATAGGGATAAGTTTTTTACTTAAACGAAAGCCAAGGATAGTTTTTAGAACCACAATGAGTCATCCTGAAATTCTAAAAATCCTACCTTTTCATAGAGCTAATAGACCAATTCGCCAGCTACCTAAATGTGCACAAAATGACGTCCCCTATCCATGGAACCACAACAGTTTCCAAGTTATAAATCAATACTTAATAAGTTAGCAGACAGCTTACCCTACCAGCAACCTCTCAAGAGGCGATCTGTAACATTATGCTGTTGAAAGAAAAACAGTAATCATTCTATTTTACCGTTTCGATAACGTAATACTGCTGAAATCAACATATCGACTAGTTATCAGCTGAGCGGTTCAACCCACTGAAAATAATTCATTAGGATTATATGATGGTTATCATTCCATCACAATGAGTCAATAGCATACACCTACACAGTATATGTAGAATTAGTCTACAAAACCCCTGGATGATAATCTGAGTCGAGTAAGAAAATGTAGACTTTCAGGTTGAATGCCACGTGATAACAAAAACCCGAGGTTTACGACTTCAGGTGGTATGACTGAAAAGTGAGTACAGTGGTGCAAACTGTTATTTACTTTAACTCATGACATATGGAAATTTGGACCATATTGGTTAACTGGCCTTGCGAGAAAATATCAGCGTACATTTAACTAGACATCAGTTCATATTAGTTAAAGTAGTGAACTGCACAACCCGTGAAAATATCTCAAGTTGTTTCACAGCATCTTAAAAAAAGTTCAATCAAAATGAACGAAAAAGATATGCTATAACAGTTAATTTTATAGCCGAATGATAGCAAAAACGACCGACCTCATGAGAAAACAATGGTAAAAACTACTCCGAAATATCCAAGACTATTTCACCTTCATCCATCAAAAAAAGACTTGAAAGGATAAAAAAAGGTATTTAATGGTAAATTGATTATGATTACACTGGTAGTTAAGAACATACTGAATATGCACGCATATATATACTCATAACAACAGAGTCACTCGTTCATATATTGATATAAAAAAATAAACCACAGGAAAACAAAGTAAATGCGTGCAAAAATGACTATCTGAATCATTCAAGTCGGTGTACATATGCTTTCATCAATGTAAATATAAGAATAGGATAATATTAGTATGCTAACTGAATAACATGATACAAAAATGAAAAGCTAGGACATACACAAGAACTGTCAACAAGAAAAGAAAATTATTCACCAAGTCGATTAGGATCAAGATGAGTTGATGACTGCTTGCTATGGCCCAAAACCTTGCTCAGTTGTTTGAGTAAACGCGGTTGACCCTAAATATTAAGTACAATAAGAAAAAGGTTACAGAAATTATAAATATACCATATAATATGAAGAGTTTACGAATGCTTTTTGAAGTGAAAATGTATAACGAGAGTTACAGTTAGAAACTGATAAAACTGATGCGAAGTTAACACTATGATTTGAACCAAGTACAACATTTCCTCCTAAATTTGAATGACACTATCGGTTTAATAACGTATTACATTATTCATTCTAACTTGACATTCAGTTATGCAATCCTTTGGCCTTGATCATCTTTTAATCTTATTCAACAAAAAGAAATACAACCAAACTCGTTGTGTTTAGGGATTTTTTGACAAGAGAATGAGAGATGAATGCATGAAACTCACATCATACTTAGATGAGCAATCCTGAGAGATGAGAAGGTAAGGTATTGAATGGGTTGATACACAGTAATCAAAAGTCTCGTTGAACACTCGACAGCGAATTCTCGGTGACTGCTTGACGAAAATCACTTGGAACTCTTGATTAACAACTATTTTCAAGAATATTATACCTTTAAGTTTCCAGTGAGTGATTCAACCGAATCGATGGGTTACTATTGGTATACCAACTCTTGTAGTGATGGCTCGATATTGACATACAAGATCAACGTAGAACTCCTCACAGAAGTGACGATAACCTTACGTTTAACATTATAAACATCCAGACTGTAGTTGTTAGGAATGTCTTGGAAGAAGTTGAAGGCCGAGTCTGATTGAATCATAATAAGAGTATATTTTAATATAATCCCAGTGCGTTTAGAAAGTCAAAACGAGATACTTTTGAATGTTTTACTGTGCAAGCCACAGCTTCTTTAGCAGAACATATGGATTCATATGAACATCAATATTTATAGTCAAATGATACAGCAAATATTTAGTGAATGTAAGTCATTGGTTAGGTGGCTTTTTTCTTCAGCCTGAATATTTAAGACTAGTCATCACAAGTTCACGCTTGTTATTGTCATTTGTCAACGAACATCTAGGATAGTCAAAGTGTGTGTATCTATGTATGTTGTAGAATACGAGTTGTTTCTTGTATTATGGGCCATCAATAATTGCCATCAAAGATTCAGTTAGAAAAAGCCATCATTAGTAGGTTTGTCAGATTAATGTTTGCCAAATACGTGACAAATCTATCACTTCTTTTTTGCTGATAGCATTTGATGTTGCTAAAATACGCATGGCTTAAGTAGTTAGTTTTTTTTTAATGTGAATGGAAACCTTTTCCCAATATCTCTACATTTTCAAAGTCAATCATGTGTCCATTTTCAATTGCATGCACAGCCTTCGGTGATCACTTTTCTTACTTTTTTTAATTCATCTTGATTCCTAGGTGTTCATTCACTCTAGCTTTTAAGGGTCTATAACTATCACCATCGTAATTAGCTTTATATTTCCAAATCACTAGGATCAGTTATGATATTTTTCGTCCTGTTTAGTAGGCTCAATATGCCACTTACTTTTATGTTAGTTGGATGATCCGATTCGAAATTTAAATATTTATCGGAATATGTTAGTTTTTGTATATTTTTATACGGAATTTACCTCCAGTCGTTCTTTGGATAAGAAAATCTTAGATTCCCGTCCTTAGATTCTATTTCATTAGTGAATTTAATAGAATCTGAAACAGAATTTATATGTTCTAAAAATGTCTGTTGTTTTACTATCCTAAGAATGACAAATCTATAACGAATTCTGGGTTAGCAGTGGACACTTCTTAGAGCTCTCTCATCAAAAGCCTTTTTATAGAGATTAGCCACAATCGAAGATGCTCGTGAACCACGTGCAACTTCAGTTGACGGTATATTCTATCTCTAAACGTTCAGAAATATCTCGTTTTGATTTTCTAAACATGCTGGGATTAAAATATATTCTTACGTTTACCACTGTTTATTATTGCATCAAAGTGTATATTATAAGGGAGAAGTTTTCAATCACTGGCTGATAAGCTTAGATTTTTGAGAATCGCTTAAATGAAATCTGATGTAGCTATCACTTGTGCATACGTGGTTACTTTCTAACCATGCGATTATCTATTTACATTCTATTTTAACACAAATATCAGTCATCGCCAGCAACACTAGTTTCACTTAGGACAATATATAAACACATTCTCCAAATGAATATGTATGAATACTCGTGGATGATTGGAAGAAAGCTGACTTCTATCCAAAAGAGCTACACTGTCTAACCACTTCAACACCTGTATCATTGTAACTACATTATGCCAGTGAAATAATTTAACTTTATTTGTCAAAAGGACACGAATACCCACTACATATCGTCTAAATAATCAATTAAAGGAAATTATCATCATTTTAACCAGTCACTTTAATTATTTCAACTTACTATAAATTTGTGTCCAGTATTGAAGACAAACGTTGGTCAACAAAAAAATGGCAATAAAAGAGCAGAAAACTACACTTAAAAATCACTAATTATTTCTCCTCGAAATTAACTTCAACTGTGATCGATATCTTAATCCAACTAAGATTGGGATAGTCCAACTCACAAATACATTTCAACAGTATGAAAAAACTAAGCACTCATTTAATTTGATAGGCTTTATGATAAAGAAGGATGCATGACAAAAAGTAGATAAAGTATAATTAACGGTGAAAACAGAAAACCAAGGTAGGGAAAATAGTGGATGCATAGGTAGAAAAAGTGTGGGTAGGACCGTTCCACTGCTCTCAACTCTAGAAAACGTTACTCAGTGAAAAGAGTCAATCGGCAGGAAGCAGAGTTTACCAAGTTTGGGACATGAACGCTGAGATAACTGATGCAAAGCTGTGTTACCCTGTATTTCTAGAGCAGTGACTCATTTCTCTAGGTACTCGACTTCCAACCGACGGATCTCGGGTTCAAAACACACTACATCTATCGGACTCAGTAAACCCAGGTACTATCGTCAGCCCTCAAGCAATAGATGTGGTTCATTACCTAGCGTGAGAAGACGCATGTGGTCGTGAAAGTTTTGGTGTTTGATATTAGGAATCAATTGACCACAGGTCCTAATTGACTTAAATTTCATGCATTTCAGTACTGATCGGCAACACGAATCTGCAAACATGAGGAAACCGGTGTCATGTCAGTGGTTGGAAACTGCATTCTCCGGCATTGAGGTCAGTAAATCTAAAACTAAGTGATTCAGGTCACGAATGAATTATCTTTACAAGTCAATTCGTTCACAACCACCAACTTAGCTTGCCGAGCAGACTTCACACAACACGAAGCCTATAATTACTGACATAATACACTAACCAAAATGCAAGCACGGTAGCCTTGAAGCGAAAAGAGGAAAATATCACAGGAAAAGTCATAGAGCAAGTAGTAGCATAAAACAATAAGACCCATGAGAAAAACAAAATTTTTTACTAGGCTCATTGGATTTATGCTACTAAGCGGTTGTCCAGGTCAAAGTTGAAAAAAACAGATATAAAATCACAAATCAATGACTGAGTAAAAGTGTTTACATAACTGAGCCAAATCTTCTGATGGAACTAAATGACTAGTTTCAAAAAACTTTTACGTGTGAATCAGAAATTTCGCAAAACTTACACGATGTTTCAACGCTGAAGGTACCTGAAGATAAATAAGCAAAAGAAGAGAAAATATTAGTTAAAACCAACGAAAAGTAGTCATTCAGAAGTCGATAGGAGGACGAATAGTTCGTACGCTGCTACAAAGTAAAACTGTTTTTACGGTGAAGGTTAGTATGCTTTGTGCAGCGCAATGACTGTACATACGTACTTTAGCAAAACGGTAAGCTACTACGCCATAATTTAGACAAAGCCTTCTATCTATGACGTATTTCGAGTTAAAGTTGATTTTACTTTAAATATCTGGGCAATAAATTCATGTACTAAGCATAAACAAATAAATGTATAGTGCTGAAATCCTGCATAGTCATGTCGATACACTGTATGACAATATGATAGTGTTTGAGATGCGTTTTTCGCTACCCACATGCAAATTGTTGCACAGACTGGTCTTCAGTGGTATCATGTCTAACAATAAGGGATGAATAGAGAAAGAACAACGATTGGAGCAGAATAACATGGTGTCACTTTATTTCGTCGACTTTTCATCATAAAACTAAAAACATATTACAAAAGAATTGGAATATACGCTGTTTCAGTTACATGAAGTTAGTTAACAGAGAACAAGGTGTAACAAAGAATACAAAAGTCCAGATAAAGTTAACAAGACATGATATAAACTCCCAGTAACATGGTCTCAACAGAAAATTCGAGAAAAGAATATGAATATTGATAAAAGATCATCTTAGAAGATTAACAAATCGCCTAAGTTGATGATAAAGAACAGAAAAATTATGTAGTGGTAAAATGAGTTGAACTCTCTCCATCCTCCCTTTGCAAATGCTAACGCAGATGCACATAAACTTGTATACAAATTAGAGGTAATATAGATAGGGAACCTGTCGACTTTAGATTGTACCAAAGAGCACGTTATTCTGTTCACTGATGCTTCCAGCCATCTATTATTCTTCCAGAGAGATCGTCACCTATGAAGTTGAGTTCAATAAAATGAAACTTCTTGCTTACTGTAATTTCCTTTAATTTATCTTATCCAGATCTTCCAAGTTAACTGATGAACTTCTGTGGATAACCGCTTTTTCATATAGTCACCAAGTCAGTAGTGTACAAGTCAGGTGCAATTTTAGGTGCGAGGGGAAAGTCAGTTGATGAGGTTGTGAACCTTCATCGACTGAGGTGGCCGGGACATGTGTTATTCATGTTTAGCACTGTCCGCCTCATCTCACAGTGTTGGCTGAAATAGGTTTAGGCTGGAAAGCCCAAGGTGACTAGGCTAAAATAGCATCAGTGCATAGTCTTCGACCGTTTCTTTGAGCCATGTACTGGAATGTACACTCCCAGGTAGGAGTCCATTTAGCCACCAAAATCGTTGGTTGGAGACTCTAGACAGTATGGTTTAAAATCAACGGCAGTGACGCAGATACATCCACGCAATATCTCCATACTAATCATCATATCGAATTTCATTATTGTTTTACTGGTTCTAATTCATTCTCTACTCCTTTCGGTTACTGTTTGTATGTCGTTATCTTTCATCTTCGTGACTTCTATCCTGATAAGAGGCGTAACAGTTCGAACCGTTATACAAGAATGCCACGCCTTAAGTTGATACTGATTCACTGAACAAAATGTAACAACAAGCACTTGCCTCAACAGATTAGATGAAAATAGTAAACAAGTGGACGATAATTAATTTCAGAGATATTTTGATGAAAATATGTCTAAAATTATTTCCCGTTAGTGGAGCATAGTAAACTAAATCCCTAATGATAAAAATGTACGCGGTGATGATTGAAAGTGAAATAGAAATCTGAGTCGTGACAGGACTCAAACCAAATTCTGCTAGGTTAGAAACCCGATGCTCTACAAAGTGAACTAAGTGACAACGGCTGACCAGGTCTCAATCTCACTTCAACCGTCAAAGGTTCCACCGAGCTGCCATTTGAAGCCACATGTAAGTATCGGTTCATCGTAATCGCACTGGCTGCCCAGCTATGTGAAGCATCAGACTGGGAACTCAGACGTCACTGATTAGAATCTTACCACGACCCAGGTTTTTATTTCACTGGTAATCATAACCCCACATCAATAATATCAGTCTACCGAACCATGGCTATCTCATATATGCTCATCCAAAGCAAAATAGTGAAGCACTTAGACTGCATGGTTACCTGTTACAAAAATTTACTTGTCGGTTGGTAACCTAAAATTCATGTAGACACAGTTAACATTTGTGAGCAGATAATAGCTTACGATGGCTGAATAAAATTACCTTAATGTAACTCCTGAAGTAACAGAAAACAATCGTTTTTCTCTCTCACTTTCTGGAATAAGTCAGAGGTGCTAATTCCTCTGGTTGCTTTTCCATCATGTTACTATTTGACTGCTACTGGGTTTAGGTTCATTTTACTGGCTTAGGAACTCGGCGTTCGAATCCAGATCAACTAACCTTAATCGCCGTAAACGTGTAGTATCGTAAGCTCTCACACAATAAGTGTGGCTTACAGCCTGGTACAGAAATGACTACCGGAGTTGAGTCACACCACTGTATATGTTTTCCTTATGGGCATTAAAATGATACACAGCATACCACTATGAAATATTACGCTGCTGGCATATATTGCAACCTTACTTCATATTTGTAAATGCTCACATAAAAAGTTTACCACATTTTTATATTTTGGTAACCATTAAAAATGTGAACTGTTCAACATAACGATCAGTGTGGAAGAACTACTCATTAACTTATGATTACACTGAGATTTCATAAGATTAAATGCACAATGCATGAATTCAGTTAGTGACTGCTTTACACATTTCATGAGATTTTCAAGGATATGATGGAATGATAGCTAGAAACTTAAAACTCTTCATAGTTTAAGGAAGGGATGGGAATCTAACATGAGCTACGACGTAAACTTCTGTAATGTTCACCATCTCAAAGATACAGTTACAAAACCAAGGAGTTTAAATGTTTTGTAGCTAGTTCATCAAAAAGAATATCAACGAAAGAACTTACTTTGTTGAACTCTGGTTTATCACTATTATCTGCCCAACCGACATGTACTTTGGACCGACTTTTGAGCCGAGAGCGATTACGGGTGAATTTTACCGGACCAATTGAAGCAGAACTAGCTGTACTTGGAGCAGAAGAAGTACTACCTAAATTTGACACACTATCATTTGGCCTGAGAGGACGACCGTGAGGAACAGCAAAAGGTGAAGAAGCAGGAAATGGAAGTCCATCATCAGAATAAGCATCATCAGCGGAATACGCATCATATCCAAATAAATCATATTCTTCTGGAGAAAAGTCATCACCAACAGATCCACTTAGTGGATAACCTACTTTTGCTGGCATAGTCCCATACTTTTTGAAATTTATTCGAGTCTTACTCATCATTTTTTGCAAACGACTAGGCTGTCTGGTAAACTCAATAGACGACAGAGTCCTGGAATTTTCAGCATTTTTCCTACCAAAGAAAATACAAGAGATTTAGTATAAAACATAAAAAAGGCATGTGTAAAGTAACTTTTAAGAGGAATGAAATTAATCCAGAGTAAAAACAAACTTACTCAGACTTAGTGTCACGTTTGCAATGCTTATTGAAAAAAGCGCTAGCTGCTGAAATTAGTGGAGCACCAGGTCGATGTGTTTTGGGAGTCGTCAGTTTACCAGACCGTTGTTTCCCTCTCTTTGACGTTGAACAGTTCGAATTACTATCAACGGAGTCCTTACGATGTACCTCATTGAATTCTGGAGGTAGAAGACTGCGCATGTGGTTGATCAGTTTTCCTTGCTGTTCTGTAATAGTGGAAAGACGATGAACTTCACGTTCCAGAGTCTGTTGTGCTGCTTCATCTAGTTCTCTAGCTCTTACAGTGGCCATTTCTAACTCACGAGCTTCTTGGCGAGCAGCATCGCGCTGACTAAGAAGTTGTGTGTTATTGAGACGCAACCGCTCCACTTGCGTTCGCAGTTGGTTTACCTAAATAAGAAAGTAGATATGGTCACTGGCACATCGTGTCCAAAGAAAAAATAATTTATTCGTTAATAATCGAATGCTTACCTCATCTTTGAGTGACTGATTATCATCAAGGAGAGGAATGACTTCAGACGAATCTTTAGACGCCTGTTAAAAAGGCGCGAAGATAAAAAGAGGTGAATAAAAAAGCATAGAAATCACTCAGAACATTACATAAAATTATTGTCATGACTTGTTGTCAGTAAAACTTGTTATTGGCAATAGATGTTACCTGAGTCACTGAAGTCAAAATCGGAATTCATTTCATATATTAAAGACACACAATTCATACATTGATCAAAAATAAACTGGACATTTAGGAAGATAAGAGAAACGGAATCAAAGAATGTATTTCAGTTAGAATGAAACTTGAAATAAAACTCACATGAGGTGAAGTAACAGTTACTTGTAATTGATCATTTCTAGTTCGTAACTGTATCACTTCTTGTTTCAAGTCACTGAGCTCACTTTCATAATTTGTTGTTTGTTCACTGGAAATATTTTAAAATAAATTGACGATAGTATCGAAAACATTTTTACATGGGTGAACCATAAATATTGGTCACCTGTTTACATAATATGCTAAAGTAACCTGGACATCTGAGAATAATTTACTAGGGAAAGACGACAGGATCGAACAGAAGAATTCTGTGAACAAAGGAATCTAAAACAGCTTGACAAAAAAATACTAATATCTATTGATAAGAAGCACAAAATGGTTAATTCAATTGAATTCAAACTATCACTACCACTGTATAGACAGTCAAACGAATCCAAGATTAACAAGAAAGAGGACAGTAGAAGGTTCTTTTAACTGAAGTTTACGAAAGAAAAACATGATAATGGCTAAAAAAAAATGTGCGGTATAGTTAGTCAGTGCAACCTTTATAAACACAGTGACCATTGGTTAAGTAATGGAGTCAACAATCATTTACGTTTATTAAACTGCAGTCAGTAACCAAGCGCACATGTATGTGAAGTAGGTAATGAGCCCCATACACACTACGTGACGGTTAATGATACTATCTGGCTACCTATACATCGGTAAATGGAACCGAGATGCAAACCCTGGATACACATACAAATATCTTCAAAAGGAAATTTATTTACTGATAAAGACGTCCAATAGCTTGCTGAAATTCAAAGGACAGCGATTGTCTCTAGATGCCAAATTCACTAATGGTTGGATAAAACAAAAATAATAAACACAGAATTCATGATACTTTTTCGATAAATAAATCTTTATGAAAATGGAACACCGTGAAGCTATGCACTTGATTCCCTGTTTATATCCATCGAACATTACATGACTTGATAAAAGAGGAATGTATGAACGAATTATCTAAGCAACCTAAACTCTTTGTTTATACTAAAATATTCCATGAAAAATAATGCAACCTAAGGGAGAGTATAGATACTCATAAGTGAATTTGGTAAAAATCGGAGGGAAAAGACAATAATTTACCGTAACAACTCCTCATTTTGTTTGTAGTGGATTAGTTCAGTCTGTGCGGCTCTTAACTGCGATCTAGTTGACTCAAGTTCATTTCTAACTTGATCAAGAACAATCTATTCAGTGAAACAAATAATAGAAGGCAATCAGCAATAACATAAGCATAAATTCAATTCTATAAGATATAGGATAATTTCAAATTGGAATAATATTAGACAGCAGTTTAAGGTGTATATGGAGGCTAAATCATCTTACAGTTTGATTTTGTGTAGTGTTCAGTCTTTCTAGTCGGAGTGTTGCATCACGGAGGGAGATTTCAGCGGCTTCTTTTTCATAAGAGCATCTCTAAGTTGAATTTGAGATTCTGATATACGCTGAAATAATAGAAGGTATGCACGCTTGAAAATAAAAGCCAACCCTCTAAAAAACTAACACAACTTTGTAAATTACATTATAACCTTTAACTTTCTATTTAATTGTAAACGTAGTTGAGGACAAATACGAAAGAATGAATGGTAACCGAACCGAAACGTTGATTTATACACTTATTTCTTAATAAACTGATTAGCTGTTCATACCCAGCCTACCTACTCTTCTTCAAAAACCCAGACGAAAATTCGTATCAGCTAAGTAGGCTGCTCCGCTTGAAGAACAATTCCGAAACTATTTCAGAGAGAACCGTTACCACTTCCGAGAGGAAAGAACAAACCATGGTTATGTGCCAACAAAACTTGTTCTACTATATGGCAAAAGTAATCCTGTCAAAAACCAGCAGTTTCTAAGTGATTAAAGATTACTAGCTTTAGGAATCAAAAGTAAGTTAATGACAGGTTAACTAGTGCTACAACTGAAGTATCCTATGGTAAGACAATAATTTATAAAGTAACTACAAAACCAACCTGTGAATCCATTGCTGCCATCGCAATTAAGCGACTACGCTCAGCAATCATAGTGGCTATTTGATCTCGCAGATCTCTCAGTAGACTTTCAGCATTTTCCGCTCGTTCTTCCAATTCACGCCGTTCACACTTATTAACCTCAAGTAAATGTTCTCTCTCCTAGAAAAAAAATAAAAACGCCAGAGAGATTTTATTCCATAGAAATAAGGATGCAAAAATAGACGAACTTAAAAAATGAAATACATTCTAGATGTGATCTTAAGGTAGAAAACGATACAAGTTCGCTGCCAACAATCAAGGAATAACATCTGACGAAAATATGCTGAAGTTGCATACTTTTTGATTGCCAAACCACAAAGCAAACCTTTTGAGAAAATAATCAACGATGATAACATGATGTCCTATTTCACGAAAAGAAATTGTCACCGCAATCCAAAACATGAAAAACGATTGTTTTTTTAAATTCTCGTTCGAGGAATATAAACTACAAAAATCCACTTGCAGAGCGCTGTCTAGTTGTTACAGTATTATTCTGCTTGATTTTTGTCACTACTCTCATTAAAAATTTCTCTGATGACTAACAAACGTTGAGTCTAAGGAGAATATTGTCGAACCAGCTGTTGACAGATTCACACAGATTTGTCTATGCAGAACGTTCCACAAGTTTCATTGAGTTCTGTACTTCCGAATCAAAAATCACAATAATAATATTGGGCTTAAAGAACACGTTAACACTACTGAAAAGAATGTTTTAAACATTTGATGCATTTTTAGAATAAGTAATAGAGACTCAAAGTTGTAGAGTGGTTATGATCTTTCAATAGATATTAAATTTCAAGTTGGTATTCATCGTGGATTGTGGTCGATTGGATAGTGCAACAAACTGTGGGGAGCGAGAAGAGGGGCATATAATGGCTGGACCGATGAAAAGACCCTACAATATTTGGATCTTGCAACCGATGATGATTTATGTCTTATATCTTGTCCCACGAACTCGAAGATATACAGGCGAAAACTAACAAGTTGGCAGAAAAGATGAGGCGGCAAAGGAAGACGGGACTTCCTTCAGGTGAACGTAGAGAGGACAGAGGTGATGAAGATACCTAACCAATAACAACAACAACAACAGGCACCAATCACCATCAACGGCAGAAACCTAAAGGAGAAGTGGTCTCTTCCACCTACCAAGGCAGCATCGTTTCAATTACAGGTGTCACAGATGAGGACATTAAAAAGCAGCCAGGATCTGAAAGACAGCAAGATAGGCCTACATTAATCTGAAATCAGTATGGAGATCTACTGTACTCCATGCAGCATAAAGCGTGAACAACATCCGGATTTTCAACACTAACTCAGTCAAGTAAGTGCTTCTATATGAAGGTTGAGAGATTTGGCGGTGCCTTACGAAAAGCATTTCCAAAAAACTGCAGACATTCATCAAAAGCTGCCGACTACGCTCACTCAATACTGAATACCAGATGGCCAGAAAAATAGGAATAAGTAACAAGGAACTCTGACTGGCTGTCAACGAACCAACCAAGAACCCATCACCCAACAAATATGCAGAAGAAAGTGGAGATGGACTGGATTGGACATACACTGAGAAGACCATTCGGGGACATCACACGGCAGGCCAGTCCGGGTTAGGCTGTCAAGTGGAAGCCAAATGGGAACGACGAGTTGGGCGTCCGAGGGTGACATGGAGGAGATCGTGTGAGGAAAAAATGAAAGCTGCTGGGCAGTCGTGGAGCTAGGTTCGAAAGACTGTGGAGAACAGAGTGAAATGGAGAAGTGCTACTAAAGCCCAATGTTCCACTACGAACCCAAGGGACAAATAACAATAATCACAGCTCATTACTGGCGTGCATCCGGTATCCTTCGTGTTTTTTGCTTCCAAATTCATACTACTTATCAATAGTGAGTAGCAATAGCATGTGTTCCACTCCATCGTCTCATGCGCGCGAAACTTGGTTGCACCATATTTATTCGTCATATGTTAATATTTCAGCGTATCGGCTATTCCTATCAGTTCATGGGTTCCCATGTGCCATATAGTTCCAAAACCATTCGTTTTTCTTTACTCCTTTTGCTGATATTGGGGTTTCGCACGCCTTTTATTCTTAACCGTATTAATCCTTCGGTAGAATCTTGTAGTGTTTATTCTGTATAGTGATCCATTTCTTCGACAGTGCTTTAGGTGGTGTAATGGAAAAAAAAGACACCTCGCGATCCCAGGTTTGCAGATTTATTAACGCTACCATCATTTGTTAATATGGTACCGTTCTATAGACAAATCCCATGTCTTGACTTATAGGTTTTACACATTACTCGGGTGTTCAGTTTTAGATCACTGAAACTTTACTTAAACATTCGGACTTGAAATTCTCGTTTAAATTTTAAAAATATGGTTTTTCCAGAGACATGAGTGAATTCCCTTTCATGAATTTGTAAAGTGAATTCCAACAACCCCCTGAATATCTATGATTTGCATTGAAAAACACAAAGTCCAGGTAGGTTCACTGTACTAATCGGTTGTACAGATCAAATAAGACTTCATCACTTGATTCAGTAGCTGGTAGTCAAAAGCTTAGATCATTACATAACAGAATTACAGATAAATCCTTACTGTCATTCATCTGCCTAAAATCAACTTCAATAGCATAAACGATAGGAACAAATTCTCATTAAACAGTTTCTACTGTTGAGTTCCCGAAACTTTTGTTGTTTAACGCAAAAACGTATGTATCTACAGCTGATTCCTGATTTCTACAAGCATGACATTCTTCCCTATCAAAGCTTTTTTGACTAGTCACACCAAGGAAATAAGCTTGTATGAAGTTAGAACTAAACTAAATGTAATCTGAAATCTTTGCAGAGGAGTACTGACTCCTTAGAACATTTATCCCTAATTCTGACGCTTTATTGCGTCATGACGTGTACTGAGAACCAGTTAATTTCTTCATTTGAAAAAGCAGCTTTTAAAGACCAGTTGCAAACAGCCTTCTCAGCATGATTGAGAACTATCGTGCTTTTGTCTACTAAGCCTCCAGTCATGGGTTGAAAGCAAAACACTCTGTATGATTATCATGTGCAAAATTTACTTATTTGGGTCACAACGAAAAAAAGTGTGTAAATATAGGCATTACCGTGAAAACGATTACTAAGAATTACGAACGATGAGTTATACTACTACCAAGTAGTTGAAACGATGTACACAATATTTCTCACTATAATACATGGTAGGTTATGAACTCTTGTTATAGATAAAATTATGTGACATGTAAAGCAAAGTGACAGTCGGTTTTAATAAGAACCATCAATCTAGTTTAGTGTTCACATACTTCATCTGTCTGACGCATGTACACTTGAACTTATTTTGATGATTATTATGTCACTATATCACTAGTGAACGGCTACAGTATTACGCAAGTGCAACGTTAATTCCTTTTCTGTATTAAAAGATGAGAGGAATACTGTTTGGGATGCCACATCCCCAAAAATGGACGTTTTACACTTATATTTTACAGATTTATTTGATAGAAAATGTGAACTGTCTTTTCGCACCTCTTTCCGCCTACGTGTACGGATCAGCTTAACCGCTTTTAAGAACGCCGTTTATACATTGGTTAATCCTCGCACTTTTGATGTTATTTTGTCCATTCGCTTCAAGGGCACATGCGTTGTATATAAACGCAAGAGTTGTGTCCCTGGGTTGTACCTTCCCACTTCGATTGGAGTAAACTCGCTTCAGTTCAACATTGTCTTTTTCTTGTGTCAACTGAACCAGTTCTCTAGCATCGTTCATCCAGCAACAAGATTACGCATCCCCAATTTGTCGTATCCGAGGATCTTAATAGACATAAATTTAGATGCTTATCAACGCATTTCCTCACATAAGTTTAGCCCAGATCAACTTATATTTTGCAAACTAAAGGTAACAACTCATATCTTTGTACACTGCAAAAGAAAACAGGAAAAAATAATGAAGTTCGCTATCAGACCATAAGATGTTCATGATATTAATTTCAGTTGAAGGACAAGAAGTAAAAAAGCAACATCAAATTCAACAATAACTCAACACAGATGGAATCATCAATTCAAGATAAAATCTACGAATAGTTCACATGAACTACTACAGATAACACATACCTACCAAACAGCGTGCTGCAAAAAACTGGCTCTGGTTCTGATGCCAGTTAGATGATAAAGGCTGTCAAATGATGCACACCGAGTATCCTCATATTATTCGTGATAACCTAAGCACTTCTGCACTAATTACATAAAGCATCCACTGAATACTTGAAACGTTTCCAAAATGTTCAACATGATAGCAAAACCGAAATGTCTGTACACAATAAAAAAAGTGTTGGTGGTTTTATTTGCACTCTATTAATCTCTAAAAGTTTAAGACAATTTTACGTGATTTAGCCTATCTGCTTGCAGTGTGAAAACAGTGAATGAAGTAAGCACGACAAGGAAAAGCTATGGTTTAAACACATAAAAGGCGATAGCCAGGTTGAAGTGATTGAACTCTACCTACTGATGTAACACAGCAAACTTTTTTTCATAATGGATTGGTAAAAGGAATAAAAGGTTACGAAGGTGGACAGGAGCCAAAGGTATAAAAAAAACAGTCACAAAGTTTCTGCTTTCTAAGATTTTTTCTATGGAATATGAGTAACTGACAAAAATCTAAGATGCATAAGAGATAAAGTACATACCATAAATGAATGTGACATCATGTCGGCAACCGAAACACAAGTAAGGCTAATTGAGTAAACTTTATAAAAAGAGATTAACTACGAAACTAATCGATAATTGTCATACAACTTATGGATTATGACTAGGTGGAAAGTTGCTAGTTCATAAGTAATATGAAAAACGAGTAAAAAATAACTGAGTACTTACTGTCGTTACACTATCCAACTGTTTTCTCAATTCAATCAGCTCAGATCCATGGCGTTGGGTTGCTTCTTGCAAGGTATTTCTTAGGGCAACAAGTTCACGTTCAACTTCCTTGTTACGGTCGACCAGGAAACTAAGTTGATCGCTAGAAATGGCGATATAAAACATCAATTATTATCAGGAATGCATACCTCACATTTTACCGCTACTCGGATTAGGCACTACTTAGTTTTTTATACTGCCTAGTTATGATTAAGAAATCCTACGGGATGCTCTTCAGTCTAACAGAAAATACTAAAAATCAAGAGACAAGAAAGCAAAAGTGTAAGTCAGTCAGTTACAGAAAGAGCTATGAGATGTGTTGTATGAGGGTTTACGATACTAGCTGGTTGCCCAGGCTGAAATAAATGAAATGGGATTTGAACCCAAAACCTACTACTGAAAAGTCGAATGCCTAAGCTAATGAACCTCATCTCACCTTTATTAGCATGTGATTGCCAAAAATCCCAAGTGGCTATTCACAATTTGAAACAACAAATGGAAACAATTCACATACTATTTAAATCGACTACTTGATATCTTGAGCACATCGACAAGCGGTGGGTAGACTCATGGGAAAAAGTATAGTCAGCAGGATGAAATCTACACCATACAGTACTAGGTACAATCACTTTTCAGTGACAAATACTATAAATAAAGTCGTGACTAACCTAGCCCAATAATGAACACCAACTTACTAAGGAGTAGTGCTTGGCGTGTATGAACATCAGATGAACGAACCCTCTACCCCATGTTTGTGGCTTCTTATGGATACAAGCGTATTTAACAGCTAACAAAGAAAATAGCTTGTTCGAACTTGAGACAAATGGTAAGAAATCTGATATTTCGAAAACGAAGTTTCAAGTGAATTTAAAGCCTTATCAATCATTTGGTGTGGAAATACAAACTTTTAGAATGATCAGTTAATATGAAACTGAAACAAAGGAAACGAGTAAACACAAATACTCTCTCTAGCTATAATCAAAGGAGTTCGATTTGTTGTGACTTTTGACAAGAAACCTAAGGAAAGTTAATTTCATTAGATGGACTAAGGATACTATCCAATGCTGTAAGAAAAATCGACCTTCGTAAACCAATTCTATGCATGAAAATTTTCATTCAGTGATTAATAAACGACAAAAGTACAAGCACCTTTGAACAAAGGAAAAATAGACAATTTTTTATTATATGAAACCTTACCAGATAAATACTTTCCTTTCCCTCAACTTTACCAATTTTCCAAACTTTTATTTCACGAAATGAGCAACTTGCTCCACTTAGTCGGATTAACATAACAAGGTGAACATGAAGAACTGGGGTTTCCGTCTGTAAAGACCTCTTTGAATTTCAGTGAAGCATGAGCTCGTTCCCGATAAAAGTACCTTTATCTATTACGGATACTTTATATGAAAGCCGCTAGTTGTCAATCGGATAGTGGTTTTGAATTCGAAATCCTTCTATCAACCTAACTCATTTCACTATGAATGTTGGATTCAAATGACAGCAACTGCTCAGAAGCTCAAATCGTTGAACAAATTCGAAGCTGTCTACAGATTCAGACTCGAAGTTAAACTGCATATGCTAAGCAAGCAAATATCTGAGGGAAATATTTCAGGATGAATAGAGACCGAAAAAATAGTAATGAAGGACCAGTAACATTAGAGACAGACAAGAAAACCAATATAGAAGTGTCTTGGTTCACGCTTCCACACTTCACAGAAGTACGGAAAGGAGGACTGGAGGAGAAAGAATAACATTAGAGTAAGTAAAAGTGTATTGAAAGAGGGATAATAGATTAAAATCAATAAAAATAATCAAGACGAAGATGTCAGGAAGTGGATACATTTGTGCCATTGTAAATACATTCGAGCCGTATCACTTAGAGTTTCTAAACATATACACCTATCATCTTGAGGACCACGGAAACCCTACAACTCCTAACACGATTCACACTAACAATCGGCACCACACCTTGGTCAAACTACAACTGCTATGTGACGAGTTCGAAACGCGCTTCACTCATCAAGGTTTGTGCAACCAAATAGTATCACAAGCCCTCACATAATAGGTATGAATTACTGCCTAGTATATGGATCCCCATTAGATCACTGGGTTACACTTCCGAACATTTCACCTCAATATCTCTAAACTAGAAGTTGATGCAGACCACACATGTAGAATCATCCTGCATCTGCAAGTCCACAGCGCGTACCAAACAAACTCAATTATTTTTTCTCAAAAAATACAGAATATTCTCCGTTTTTTCAGTATCCTCGCCTAACAGGACTAAAGTATTTACATCCTGGAAGTCAGTCAGATTACCTTCCTGTAGGTCAATCCTTGAGAAGTCGAACCTACATAGGGTCACCTCCGTTAATACATCTATAATAAAGTTGAATGAGAATGGTGGTAGTGGACATCGCTGGAGGATAATACATAACAAAATCTACGAGATTAAGGAACAAGAAGCAGTGTCCACATGTAAATATCTTCACGGCCATTATTCATTTGCATAATCAACATGAAAAAAAACTGCTATGTTCACGAGAAGATATGATTATGCATGTTTAACTGACAGCTAACTTCGCACGCAAGATCCAGCCACTCCAACTCCGGATGAAATAGAGAAGATTAAACTGAGTGGAAGAGTTTATTCCTCCAAGAATAATCAATAGACCTAAAAACAAGTGTATATACACATGACCTTATCCGGAATTCGAAACAGTAAAAGCAAGCACTAACCAATCAACGAATTACTTCGAAAATGTAGGAGGAGGGGGGAACTACCGTCCACGCCATAAAAATGGCGCGATGTTTTTATGTAAATCAGAGGCCTTCTGACAAAGACAGCTTCTGTTACAGAAAAACTAGCAGGAAGACATACTGTGCAACTTACGATTGTGTTTGTAGTTCGGATGAACTGTTCTGTTTTTGGACTGAGCTAGCAGTCAGTTGTTCAAGTTTCTCCGTTATTTCCTTGTTTTTCTACAGAACAGAGTAGGTATGAAAAAAGCAAATAAATAAATATGAGTTTGAGTTATGATTCCTCCATCTTACGAAATTTCAGAGTAAATAGAGCTGGTTGACATCTCTTGAAGTCAACCAGAAAATCTCATAAACTGTTTTTCGCAAAAGTGATAAAACACAACAGAAAATAGTTATCATTCACTTTATTTAGTAAAGACGGAGGGAGATATAAGAATAATGTAAAACGATTCATATAATAATCACTAACACTTTAGTGAATTCAGCATTTGCAAAAACGAAGTTTGTAAAGGTATAAGTCATGCTACAGAAAACATTCTAGGATTCTTTTGATTTTCTTGACATAACGGTACAGAAATGGTGAGTATGAAGATAACTTCGTTTTTCCGTGTCATAATATGCAGGTTACTCAAATCACACAGGATTAGTTTTAGCATCTCGCTTTATGATGTCTTGACAGTGCTGCATACCCTTAGGCTGCACATTTCAACGAGTAAATAACTACAGACATGACATTTATGCATCAAGGTACTCTGATTATAAAAACTGTATTATCATCACAGGCTAGTTAGCTCTGGTGAGGTGATTCTAAAAAGACTCAGTTTGTTAGAATCAAGTGCTTGCATATTCACCCTGAAACTGACAACAACACTCATAAGCCCCAAGCTTATGCGGATTAACGACTGATAACTGGAAACTCAAGCTAAAGGTGACTACTGCTACGTGAAAGCGTGAAAATGTTAGGTATGATCAATTACGTTAATTAGATAATCAACCGACGTTGCAAGATAAATCGGACTTAATAGAATTGTATTCAATTAGGAGCAATATGAAACCAATTTTTCTTTTGAGGGAGAATACACAAACCTTTTCTTCGTCTTTCAACCTCTCTCGAGCTGAAAAGTATTTATCTTCAAATTGTAAAAACTTGTGGTGTAAATCCCGCTGATAATCTTTTGAATCTTCAAGTTTTTCTTTCAACTCCTACATTAAATTAAAAAAAGCAGTGCTATTAGAAAAAACAGAACAATGGTGAAACTTACAGACAATGAAGTGATGAGGGATGCGCAAAATAAGATACAGTAATCCTGCTGTGACACAGAATTAGTTCTCCCGATATTTATTTCAATACCACTATTGTAAATTCCCAGCTAGGTCAAAACAATAAAACACTATATGAATCATGAAACCCCCCTTAAACAAAAAGTCCAGGAAACAAATCACTTAAATATAGACTGTTCATTATTGACTCATGAAGGTAGATAGTCATTGTTAACATAAGGCTATGTAACATATGAAAAAAGTCACAACGCTTACTCTCAGCTTACTCAAGTTTTAACACAAAAGGTTAGTCATCATAAGTGGAAAGGGATGTGAAGATCCTCTGCAAGGACTACGAGTCACTGTCTGCTGAGAGCAGACGGTTTATTTGAGAGGGAACTTTTATAAACGAATTATCAATGTGTCACAAGTTTTTTATTCGATACAACTCAACTTTGTCCGCAAAACTTTGCATCTTCCCTGTACATATTATCTCCTAAATGAGAAAATAGTAATGAAAACTTACTTTGATCTCCCGATTTAGATTACATTCAGTTTCCCGAGAGCGACGCTGATCTGAAACCAACCCATCAATGGCCTCAACTAGTTGGTTGACTTGTTGTTTCGACTCATCTAGAGCTTTCTTCAACTCAGCATTCGTTGACTCTAAAGTATAACAAGACTGTTTTGCTCGATTAGAAGCATGCTTGAACTGTTTCAGAGCGAAATTAATGAGCCGATGAACTAGTTCATAGCCAATGAGGTTATCCAAAGAGTTGGATGAATGTATACTTGAAAGTGAAGCGTCTGCAGACAATTCAGCTGTTGTGTAAACGGAAGATGGACATAGAGTAGCCAATAAATCGAGTAAATCTGCTTCCGTGAAATTATTTGGCAGTTTGGAAAGACGAGACTGTTTATTCAAGATAAGAAAATAAAATAGAATAATTAGAAGTCATAAAGTAGAATATTAATAACCGTACAGATAATTTATGAACAATGAGAATGTGATTAGGGAATAATTTTGTTTTTATCATTCAAATTTTTTTTGTTGAGAATAGCCGATGAAGAGCTATAACTGGGTGATTTAGTATAAAAAAAATACTCGGCAGTTTCATGATGAGTTACTCTACTGAGTTCTGATGATTCAAAAGCTGTAATGTATTCTTTCTGCAAAGAAATCCATCTTCTAGCTACACTTCTTTATCAAATTCTCGTACAGTGAAGATAACAGTTAGTCAAGACCCGAGGCGCATAAAAATCTTTAGATAAGAAAATAGATTTCTTCAAATTGGCTCAGCAGCCTAATAAAGGTACGTCAAAAGATTTATCTAACATATGTGGTTTTATGACAATGGCTGTGATACATTGGTTAGAAAGATACTTAGCCAAGAAGACAAAGAACCTTAAAATGAACACCTTCCACAATAAGAGAACATTCAAGTATACTGTATATCTGTAACTGCGTGAACAGATTTCCGATACTCAAAATAAGTGAAGGCTTCACGAATGCAAACTAGACTATTTGATCGACCATTAGAACTTGTTTGAAAAGGTTACTACAACCAAGTAGCCAGGTCATTCAGTCGTATCATTTCTTAAACTTCGAAATACATTGGTTCCACTTCTATAATTTTGATCTTCGTAGCTGTCGTTGTAACCAGTAAGCTGTCTGAATTCAGTTAACAAAACAGGAATCAACTTTTCAGTTATAATATAGGTATTTTTCATCAATACATAACAAAACCTTACCTTTAGATGATATTAAAGCATACCTTTTGAAGTCAGGTACGATCGTCTCAAATCAATAACATTCATGAATCTAGTAATGATAATCATTGTCGATTAACAGGCAACTAACTACCTGTACGATCCTCAGGGCAAAATGAAATTTTTTAGCTTTTACTTCAAAAGCTACTCTGAAATATTTAACAACCAAAACTAAGGTGATAGATCAATTTCACTTCAACCGCCTTAAGAACGAATACTGTTTAAATAATAAAGAACAGTGGACAACTTATACCACAACCATATAACATCTAGACATGTTCCTTGAATTTACTTCCCAATTGATATATTGGAATACACTACCTACCTTTCAAAAATCAAAAAAATCGGTAACAGCAACACAAAAAGTTGACAGTTAAAGTATCATACGTTCATATGGGATCTCATATCAAACGGTGAACAACATACCACAGCATACTGTACTTGATCTACGACAGCTTGTGCTTTCTGACAACATTGTAATGAAGCAGTTAGTCGAATGTTTTCTTCATGTAGCTGTTTTATCCGTGAATTCAACTGATCAACAGCAGATCTACAAAAAGTAGAACGTGAAAATGTTAAATAATAAAAAAGTATGCTGATGTTCAGAATGAAAACGCCTGCCCTTCAGGAAGGTTTAAATGGTAGGCTTGACATGTCAGAAATCATGAAATGAATCAGTATTGTATAGAAGTGAAGTTTTAAACAGAAATGATAACATTTGTCATCAGTGATACAATTATAAGTGAACAAATGAACAGAAAAATAAGAGGAAAGAAACTCGCCTTCCTTTTTCCACAACGGTATCAGAAAGAACGCGTACAGCTTCATTGATTTCGTTCAGGACGTGACCATTATCGAATGCACTTACTAATCGTTGACGCAGATCCTATACAAAAAAGGTTACAAAAACTTTTAACTTATACTGTGTAACTCTGAAAATAAAATAACCTCCCGGAAAAATAAAACGATGAAATCAACAATCTTCAGAACCTTTTATTCCAAGAACATATTTTTTTTTATTCCTAAAAGGATTTAAGCTATTTTTATGTCCAGTAGTTCCTTATATTCACAAATTAACACATTCAAATGGTTGACTATTATAACACAAGTTATATCACATTACGTAATGGTACGCAAGGAGCCTTGGATAAACTACATGCATACGAAACTCACCATAATTTAAAAATCCAAATGATTGGACAAGAATTTTAAACAGTTTTAGAAATAGAAACAACCGAAGTATAAATAAATCAATCCTTTAGAAACCTAATCAAAGCCGATAAAACAAAGTTTAAGCATCCTTTATCAAGTGCTCGATTAGTGACACTGTAGTACAACCTGAATTCTAACCTAGTGATCGACTACTCGTATAAATAGATTAGGTGTATATGATGCAATGCTGCTTTACCACATATTGAATAAACTTTAAGTAAATCTACACTTTACAGAAAAATAGTTTCCATACAGAAGGTTAATAGGTTAAAGGAACTGTTCTATACTATTTGTACTTGAAACCGTTTTTTCATACTGCTTACTTCATTACGTTACACCCATAGTGCAAAAACTAACAAACGGGTCGTTTTTTTAAGCAACTGCACTGACTGAAGTAGCCCGATACCAGTGTACAAACTCTGCTACTGAACATACTTCATTAAATCCATGGTATTTTCAAAAGTTCTAAATCTGAAATTAGACACCATAGACAGGCAGATAAAATCAACGTAGAACCTCACATATAATTGCATCACCCCAAGTTGCCACATATGAAAGCAGCACGCAAAGAACAAGTATACAAAAAAGGAATGATCTCAAAGAGTGAATACATCTGCATCATCGTTACGGATTTTCAAACTTGTCATCAACAGCCTACAATAATTGACTCTTATTATCTCAAGGACTCCCAGTCAGGGAGTCTACATCTTTCTACAAATCTGAAAATAAGTCATAGACTTCATCGATTTGTGCCACGTCTTGCTCTGCCTACTCTGAGTCTTTCTCCAACTCAATCCTACTTCAGCCAACATTGTACATCGAATTAGGCAGTGGATCGGCATGCACAACACATGTCCAAGCCGCTTCAGTCGGTCAAGGTTCAGAAACTCATCGAATGACTTACCTTTCTTGCCTAGTACCCCACCGTTCAACCTAGGTATTGCTCACGCGGTGATTACGTCATGTGTCAGAAATGCTGCGAAGACGCCTCTGGTCAAAAATTGGTAATCTCTCCATATCTTTTTTATTAGGGGACTTAACAGGTAGCAAGATACCTCACCGGCACCATAGATGATGCAAGTTGGCAAATGCCAAACGGGTTCTCGGTATCCCACCTAACATTTCGTCAGTAATCAACCCATTCGGGTTGGTGCAACCTTTCAAGTAAGTGGAATGGTCAAGGCATTCTAACATCTCCCTCCCTATTCTCAAACTGAGAGTAGCTGCAGACTAGTTCTGAAGTAACAGTTTAGATTTGACAGGTGCGAAACCCATGCCAGACATACCGAGATTTCTGCTTCGGGTGTTCAAAAGTTTGCATTTTGTCAGCTTCTTCACCTAACAAGATGATGTTTTCTGAACCCTCCTTGGTGCAAATCGATCCCCGTAAAGTCGGAGGTACCCATGATTATGTCTATTAGCACGTATAACAAAGTGGAAAAGGAATGGTGAACAAACAGCATGACTCAAAGATCCCTTTATCACCCTTCTCAGAGTACTATTGCAAAAAAACGACAAAATCTTAATACTACGAAGAACATCTAATCATATAGTGTTGAGTAAGTAGGCAGCGAATATCTGAAAATAAACTTCTAACCCTTGCAGAAGTTGGAAAGACTGTAAGTAACCTAAAACGAAAAAAAAGAGCAGCATGCCCTGATGGGCTTGCAACAGATTTAGTTAAGAACAGTAACCTAGATCTATTGATTATCCTGGTAGAAGTTTCAGACCGCATATGGGAATCAAATATGGTCTACTGCAACCAGTCTAAATCACCTAATCCCAGTCCTTGAAAAAGCAAAAAAAACATTTTTTGATAACCAAGTTGGAATCAGCCTGATGAACGCTTTTTCTACGATTGTTGACCTAGATACTTATCTGGAGCTGTTGAACAACAAACGTGCGAATATCGAGCGGAATTTCACAACCAACCGCGAATGTACCAACCACATCTTCATTCTCCGCCTATTCCTAAAACATAAGCACGCCTATCAGTACTAAACAGTAGCTGCATTTCTCGACATGAAGGTGTTTGATACTGTCGATGGACAGATTTTATGACAGTATTTCTCACTGAAAGAGATGGACCATAGGTATACAACACTAAAGAAGGCTCTACGCTAGAACAAAAGTGATTGCAATAGAGACAATGGTGACTTATCAGATTAGTTTTCTGGATCGAATAATGCTCGTCAAGGATGTCTACTCTCTGTTTTTATCCAGCTTTGTCATAGATATGTTACAAAGGCCTCCCTTAACTGACTTTACAACAATTAGTCGAACATTTGAGCACTTCACTCGATTCGAAAGTCGAATCAGTCTTAAAAGGTCAACGACCGACGAAAGCTCTGTGCACACAAGAAGATCAAATTGACCCTTGTCGATTCACGCCACCTATATAACACCAGAAAATAACTGATTGACCACTAGTCATCGAGTGTGACGCATAGAGATTCCCTCCGCTCTACTATATGACTGTGAAACATGGGTAATAAAGGTGAAGGGTATGAAAAGGCCTCAGATCTTCGTTCATCGTTGCCTTTGTAGCATAGACCGCGAGTCATCGAACTACCACGTCAGAAACGTACAAGTGAGGCGTAGAGTCTTAGGCAAGAGAGGTTAGCCAATGTATGAGGCTACAAGGCCACATCTAATTAGGAGGCTGGAAAATGGGTTATGTATGTTTAATCAGTTCATCTTGTTGAACAATTTTAACTAAAGTAGGCTTAGGCTGGGTAAAGTTAAAAGTGGTCAAACTGGATCATTCTATCAGTTCGTCATGACTGTTGATTTGAGCCGCTTATTAATGAGTAGGCTTCCAGGCTGAGATCAATATGACAACTGAAATCCATGGTTCAAAATGTCAGGTGACACGGTTCAGAGTCTATGTGTTCCAAATGCATCCCCATATATTATCTTCATCACAACCATTACAGCACACTGTCAGTTACTTCATGCACCCCCCTTCCTCCCTCATAGCTTCCTGCAAGTTTTGATTACGCTACTTGTATGTGTTCATCTGTCGTTTTCGTACTCGGTATCTCGATGGGGTGTGGCAGCGTGGACGGTTACGCAGTAATGTCAGTTCGCATGATAATAATGACAGACTGCAACAGAAACAATGCATAGAAAAGGAAATCGAACTGTTCTGAACGTAACCACTTATTAGCGAGCTCAATAAGTTCGCTATGCTATAATATATGTGGAATGCATGATGTTATGAATACAGACTAGGTGTTGATAGAAAAACTTGTATGACTAAAATTACGTAAATTCACAGGTTAGGATGACAGATGGTAACCAACTAGACCAGTCATTTAGTGCTGAAATCGAAATAGAATGGTTAATTGTTTAAGCCCTTTTGTGTTAAATAGTTAAAATTAAACTTTGTATCTTGTACTTTAGGTAAATTCATGCACCAGAAAAGAGCTAAAGCACTGAGTATAAAAAAACTGCTACGTTTGACTTTAAAATATCAAAATTAAAACGCATGTGTAGTTAATTTTACAATCAGTAAGACTAACATTAACGACAATGAGAAAATCTGAGCATTAGTGGAACGCATAAATACGCGGTTACACAGATTGACAAACCTCTGATTCTTTATTTTCCAGTCGTAATTGTTCAATTTGCTCACAAAGCTGCTGATTACGCTGCTGAAGTTCGAACAAGCTGACAGTTTCAGGGTAGCTCTTCTTATCTGCATCGCTACGCTGTTTTGTTCCGGAATATCCAGCACTGTTATTGAGTGATTTAATCAATGAATCCCGATGACCACTAAGTGTACATCTGCGAGGTGTGCTAAATAAATGAAATGTGAATATGCACGAAACATTTTTTTTTGTGTTAACAATAATGCCATAATAATTAGTTGTTATAAATACAAGTGAGTGAGTTTAACAAAAGAAATAAGAATAGAAGTAATGAGTTAAAATTCATCACGTAACTATGGTTCGTCTTCAGAATGGATGGCTACTTTTCTATTAACTAAAACACCATGAAACCCAATACAAGACATAATCAGTGAGGAAAACAGTTAGATTAAACTTAACCTTGGTAGACACCCATGACGAACAAACGATGGAGTCCTTCTTCCGATACTATACCGTGCCCCGCACAATAGTGTCTCAAATGTAAACAATCAGCAGGTTAAAACACTGACAAATTTGATGGAAATATTGTAATTACTGTCACATCTGCTATAGCGAACTCGTAAAACAAAATGTGTAGGCTAAATTGAAGCAATAAGTAGGAAAACGTATGGTACATCTAAATTAGTATTCATCACCTCATAGAATAAACGAATTAAAAATCATTTCAATGTCGGTTGTTTAAAGGCTTTAGACACGAAGAGAAGATTAATATACAAATTTTTCAACATGTAAGAACACTTGTACGGCCTGATTTCTTTAATGAAAAAAGATAGGATTAGCGTATGGGTCAGCATGCCAAGAAATTTTCGTCTCCCATAATTCCCCTACTGATAATGTGTCACAGTCCACACTACTAGTTTTTGCATACAGTACCCAAGGTGTAGTACAATGAAGGTTGATTTGATTAATCAGAGATGTATGTATAAACTGCCAAAAGTGACAATCCGAATGTTAATTTGCACGAAGGACGGTGGATTAGAATCACAACCCTTTGATATCGACAAAAATTTCACATTCATCAACACTAACCAAAACTATGCCGGCTAAAACAAACATGTTGAATAGTGTCTGAACAATGTAACACGTTTCTATTTCCTGTATCTCCTTTTCTCATATCGTATTTTGCAACTGTCGATACTACTGGTTTATGCTCTTCGCTTTTTTCTTGCTACCTCTCATTTTGAGTACAGTGTGATAAACTGTAAAATTATGCCAGTTCTTATGCTGACAGTGTATATTTTACTGACCATCGATCATACATTAATGGATTGGATCTTAACATATGAATAACAATTTGCACTAGCAGTATGAGAAATTTGAAGATTCAAGAAAAAATAAATAAGACAGATTGCAACCACTCCGCAAATTATCTATACTGGTTGCTCAGTGGTCAACACGTGTGCGAAGGATAAACTGCTACTGTTAGCCACTCCAATGTGCATATATCAATTCACTTGCTCCTGTGGAGCTACGTACATAGGTTGTACACAGAAGCAGATTGTCCAAAGTTGATACCAACATTTTCCACCACGACTCATGTAAATATCGACACAGATCAACCGAAAGCTCCATATTTACAACACCTATTTGATAGCCGACGCAGTTCAAGGAAATTTGTTTGCAGCAGTCAACAGAGTATAACGTAATCTTCCAAAGGGTGTGAGGAAACGTTTACTTGGGATAACTCTATAAATACAAAGACTGAAACCTGAGCCATGCATCCCGAAACAACTCCCCCCTGTCCTTATTCACTTTTTAATTTATAAACTTCCCAATTCCTAAACCTAACTACACTTTTTAAGCTTCCTGTTGTTATTACGCAAACGTTTTTCAGCTCAGTCACGAATTTCTTATTCTTTTCGGAGGTCTGGGGGATTTATCGATTTTAAGGTGATGTTTACCACAAATTGGCATAAGCTGGCGGCCAGGGAGAATCTGAGTGAACCGGACAGTTGTTTTTCCCTAATATGAGACCCTAACAGTGCGCACCTGCGACCCCTCCAGGGACCGAACCCAAGACCTTAGGGTTTCACGGTGAGTACAGTGCCACTGAGTCGGAATACAATGATCCCTACTTTCCTACTTCAGTCGACTTGCAACCTTCATCCAAAGCCATCGTTGAGTGTTTGGTCCCATGTTCGACTTGGTTTGCACCACAGGTCACACTTCTCATTAGAACGTCGGGAAATCTTATCTCGAAGCATGCCACTCATGAGCGCTATGCAGTAATTCCAAACGAATTACTGATCTTTCATTCCTTTTGTCACTGATAAATGTCTACTCACTTTGATATGAATTTTTTAGTTCTTGATTTCGATTCATACTTACTCGTATTGTCATATTTCTTACTTCCACTCCTATATTATTTTCATTGCCCCAAACTACTAACAATTATTGATTAATAAGGATATGTAGATTTTCAATCATTCAGGTTAAAATGCTTCGTGTTAAACATACCAAAAATGAATAACGATAAAGTTGAAAAAGCCTTCCTACGCAACGCATCCACGGGTATTATAGAAGCACTCTAACTATCTACGTAAATCTTGTTATATGATAAAATGGAGAAAAATAATACTTTTTTACTCGTACTTGTAACCTTCTGTTGCTATACTAGATCAAATCCAGGTACATACAGTTCACAATTCTCAAATAGGACGAGACGAGCGTCTTGAATTCCACTGCTAGCCACTACCAAGCAAATTACAAATTAGTATTTTTACCTTAAATTCTGTGAACACACTACACAAACTATTTCAATATCGCCGGAACATTCTTAAATTAATGTGTGCCAAGAAGACTGAAATTTGTGTTGTGCTTGGGCACTTAGTTAGGGGTCATAAAACTGGAAAAACTTCATTATGATTACTGAGGTCTACACAATGACATGCAACGTTATCATGTTTACAAAATAAAACCTTTCACAGCTCAGCACATAAACACATTAACGGTTGCTAGTTCATTTTCTAAGCGATATTATTTCTAATAGATTCTAATAATAAACATCCTGAATAATTTTTCGCAACTTAACACTTACCTAATTCAGTCGTCTGTCAACAAGTATTATTCATGTGGGAAATTTTCAGTCGCAACACCTACAGAATTTATGACCAAACAAACATGAAGACAACAGCCTTAGATTCCACATCATACATGTCATACTAAATTCTGCAACAGGATTAACCTAATGATAAATAACTGCTTAATTGTCTTGATAGGCGATAGGTGGCGAATCAGAAAGTTAATGAGCACTGAAACAAGTGGTTTGATATTCTCTTAGTAGTCTGGGATCTTAGATGAGACGTGCATCGATTAGGATCCTGCTAAGTGGAATCAAGATTACTACGACCAGTAGCAATTAAGGGCCATACAATGTTACGACTCATCAAGTGGACACAATATCTGATGACACATCATATTCGAACTCCGTAATCAAGCATGAGACCAACTATTACAAGTAGACACTAACCAGGTTCGCTTCACATTTGAAGGTGAACATTTTCGACAAGTGGATGGTGTTATTGTGGGTAGTTTTTTAAGAATTTTGTTACCTGTCGCTTATATAATATGCAGGAATTTCGGCTGGTGATTTAGTAAAGTTCCTGCATACAGGAGATATGTTGATGACGTCTAAGGAATATGCTACACATAGGATGATGTTGTTTTACCGACCAAAGAAAGGAAAATATGAATCTCAGACAACCATGATCCGTCGCATTATTTCATTTGTTTTAAAAGGTATTTTACTCAAAACTTACAGAATTTTCGTAGAGCCGAGAGATTAGTATCAACTCCTTACTTATTTCCGTACGAGGTAAGGGCCCCAAAATACTGACTGATGGAGATTAAGCAGTTGCAGTGCTCGAGTTCATTTTTTATGTTTACTATCGGGCATTTCATTTTTATGAACTATGGTACCATGTAACGACATAGTTCAGGATATCCTTACACATGGTTCTAAGAATGGCGAAAATATCCACTTGTCTTCTGTGGTACGAAGTATAGGGTGGTTAATTCGAGCGACTAATCCATGGATTAATCATGCATACGTACCGAGTTTCTCTAATGACCACTCTAGCAACCGTCAAAATAGCTAATTAGGCTTAGATATTTGCAAAAGAATTATATTTTCAGCTGAAAAAGGCTTAATTGGTTGTTTCAGCAATCGTTAGTGTGGCCTTTGAAAACACACTGATCGCATTTGTGTGAGACATTAATAAGGACCAATCAACGCGATACTGACTTTACGACAAAAACCTTAAGTCCACCCTAGTAACTGCTTAGTTAACCCATTAGACTTCTGTGTTTCGGTTAGAAGGGCAGTTTCTTCATAAAATAATCAGATTGGTTACTTCAGTAGTTGGCAAGGCAACCTTAGACTTATTGAAGAAATCACTTGGCCATAAACTTACCATATAGAAGTGGACAAGCCTATAAGGCGCAAATTAACAAACACCAATTTATCGTGCGAAGTAAAATGACAACCACTGAACTTTTCTGAAAGTACTATCGACTAAGGAAGAGGTGTCAATAAGATGATCAGTCTGAAGAGAATTCAGTTAGAAAAGATTACCTAGATTTCGAATGCAGTACAAATGGGACTTTTAAAAACCATTATTCAAGATGACTCAACGTGCATGCAAAGCAGATAGTCAAAGAATAAGTAAAACATAGCAGGGACACTAATCAATAAAGAATATGCCTCGGAGACTTTTAGTGGATGCCAAAACTACTCATGAAGCAATCCGTTTAATATGAGTGACCTTAAAGGCGCCCCGGCAACTGCTGAAAAAACCAATTGGAGTTTGGTATTTCGGCCGAGAGGGTGGTTTTTAATAAAATAGAGATGCGTAATTGGTTATCTCAGCAATGGTCAAGGTGGCCTTTAAAGTCACTCCCTTAATATTCTTTCATTAAAAAGGGGTGTGTACGTCACACTACAATGGAGGGGGAATTGAAAAGTGTGACTTAAAGCAAAGGTCTAATTCAGAACGTATTATCATGCGGCTACACTTATCAAGTCTGGTTGAGAAACCAATGTGATTACGATGAATGGACAGTTACATGTCATGGATTCACATTACAACCGAGTGAAAACCTTGGTGATTGAAGTGGAATTAAGACCTGATCAGCAGCTAGGTCTCGTAGCTCATTGGTAGAGTGTCTGTTCAGCACCTCGAAAACCGTTGATTCAAATCCTGTAGCAGCCCATGTTTTTACTTTCACCTTCAATCATCATCACTTCGCATTAATAACACCAGTCTGCCAAACCATGATTATTTTAGATAGTCTCTCACTGATAGTAATTGAATTTGTGATCAGATTATTCGAAATGTATTGTGCAAATACATCACACTACACAGATGAACTTTACCTTCTTATTACATATATTGTGCAAACTCACCGAACAGACAAACTTTTTCCAAAATATTAGAATAAAAAAGTATTAAATATGACAGATACGGCATCATGGTTAAATAATGAAATATGTCTGGCACCTATACAGGTTTATATCAATGTACGAAATCAATGAGTACACCCTGGGACTACCACACTCAGCTATATCATACACAAAAATACTGCTTAAGAATGACAAAAATTAAACTTTACCTCAGGTTATCTACTAACGATGTTCCAACATTGGCGACAGCAGTAGAAGGGTTTTGCTTTTTGGTAAGGTTGCCAAATAACACTAATCCAGGCGTATACGTGTAGCCTAAGAAGGGCAAATCTCTGACACATTCAGAACCTTGCCATTCAATGTCCTCAATCTCTTCGATCTCTTCATTGATGGGTACAGCTGCTGCCTCCTGAATCGCTTGTCTTTTTGTCGCTTCCGAGGATAAAATGGATTTTTGTGGATCAATATTCTCCTGATCCTCAGCTACATTCTTCAATAACACAGTTTCATCTCCTTCGTTCCCTTCCCCACTTAAAGTTACACACTGTGTAACATGTTCATAGTGAACAGATGGTTTTGTGAAACGGCTTGGGGAAAAAGTTTGATTTGTGGAAACATCCAATATGGTCTCATCACGAGTACGTGAGCCACCGCCAGAGAAATTCGAGACATCATCCACCTCCCCAACTGGGGGCAGGTATGGCGGAGTAACTATATAAAAAGATATGATATGATGGATAAAAACAATGGCAGATATGAAAAGTAGTAACCTCGAATTTTAAGAAATTTGGGATAACTTTACTCACGTTTCACGAATTATCAGTGAAATTGGTAGAAAACTTCCTCAGAGCTGACAGATAACAAGAGATATCTCGTTGAGATTCAATATGACTTAAAAAAACTTAACAAGGATGTGTAATAGTAGCCAAGACCATAATCAATGATTACTGAAATACCTTAAGATAGTGGTGGTATACAGAAATTTTACCAAATGAATGAACTACCCGTTTGCCTAATTTCAACCCGAGTTGCCGAAATGTTAATCAAGAATGAGATAAAGTGGCTTCCGGATACCTGGCACTTGGTTAACATCCAGTCGCAGGTAAATGGGACAGCCTCGGTTAAGCATATTTACGATGAACGTACCAACACCGAGAAACTAATTCATTGCTGTATTTTAGATATTTTATAACCTTTAGCTTGACCTCTAAATGAGTTACAGAGTAATGTCTTGTGTTTAATACTCTACAAATTCTGTAGAATGACAAGTTTATTCGGAAAAAGGTTAAGATAGTAAAACTCTGCAACAGTTGAAGTTATTACAATTCAAACCATATCAAGTGAGGAGGGATATAGTAAAACACCAAAGTAAACAGAAAATGACAAAACGAAGAGTAAGTGGATGTAGAACTGGATGTTTTCCATTCACAGTTTGGCAAAAGTTGGATACATAAGTTCTACAGCGGAAGATTTTTAGTCAGTTCATCGGTTTCTGATCATCAATTTCTACTGCCTTACGCATCGGAACTCAGTTGTTCACTGAGCTTCGTGGCTTGATACGTCTCAGGTTCGTTATACTCAAATATTTCATCATCTACTCGATTTAATTTCACATTACGAGAAAAGTGATAATCACAGACACACTAAAAAGTATGCAAATTCACAACTTGATGATTTAACTCCCTCACCTAAAGCTCTAATAATACTCACTATTGGTCCTCTTACACAAGCAATCTATGGTATCTTATTTCAAACACTTGCTCATTTCCGATGCAATCTTTCTTTAAAACTACTTTCCGCTGGCGAATAGCAGAATAGGGATAACGTGAGTAAGACATCATACACCCCTCAACTATTTTTCTATTGGTCAAAAAAACTATGAACGACCTCGAACAAAGAAAACATATGACTCCATTTAGAAAAACAAATTCAGAAGTGAATACATTACAACATTCTTTAAACAGAAAATTTACTCTGCATAGACTCCACTGTGAAAATGATGACTAATGAGTTAGCGAAAGTCCTATTAGACCCTTAACCGAATTTAGGAGTAAACTTTCAAACAAACTTGTATTTCCTGATACGCAAATACCAACAGCTATTTGAATATTATAACGATATTTTACCTCTCATTGTGTCTTTGTTAAGGTAATAATCTAGTGTTGTATATGTGGGATTGAGTTCTTCTGATCTTCGTTGTTCGTCTCATATCTTGCTGACTTCCAAATAAATCGTTAAACGTATTACATAAAGAAGCTGAAAATCTCCAGCATAACTCAGCCTCTACTTTTATAACTTATTATTTCATGTATTTCACCTATTCTTCTCTATTGTTCCTCATTATTCTTCCCTGGTCTACTAAAAAAAAGACTAAGTTATAGTGTGTTCGGCTTTAGGAGCTGTCAGTAGGTTAAGTGCTGGGTCTCTGGATTAAATGATTAGCACTGCAGTTGATAGACATTTAAATTCAAGCAGACAACTACAGCTACAGTCATTTTGTCTGACACTAAGCATTCACTTTATTCACAGCTCTCTCCTTGCATCTCTTCAGGGAGGACAAGAAATTATATAAGATTGCGCTCGCACGGCTAAATATAAGAATTCAACTGTGCCGTACCTAGCACGCATCGTATGTAAGGAAGAGTGCTGCAGCAGAACTCATCAACTTTGTAACAATAAACAATCAGTCTTCCTAACATTTTAACCATGTACAATTCTGCTCGTTACTCATATTATTTGTATAATTCAAATTGCGATAATTAACATTATCCGAAATGTTATCAAGGTGTATATTTTTGTTGCAATACTACATGCGGAGAATTCCGAACTGTATCAAATATTGTTTGAAATAAAATTGTTATCATTATTATTACTAACCTTGTCTTAATGCAGAAAAATCAATTTCCTTGAAAAATGGATGCACAACGACATCTTCATATGTTAATCGTTTCGATGGGCTAACAATCAGAGACTTAATCAGGTGAATTGCACAGTCTGTTATTTCAGATGTTGAAGGGAACTTCAGTGTTTTCTTAAGAGAATAGAAAAAGAGAAAACGAAATTTAGCTGGTCAAAGAAAAGAATTATAGAGGATATTACCCGATAATCCATAATCTTCTGCATCATTGTATCATCATCATCATCGTAGAAAGGTGTTTGACCGTAGAATAGTTCATAGAGCAAGACGCCGATAGCCCAATAATCAAATTCGGGACCAACAAGTAATGGTTCTTGATTATGTCGTCCACGTTGCCTTAAAAGTTCAATATTCAGGTATTCTTTGGTCCCAACCATTGTAGGACAGATGCACTGAATAAGTAAATTTTTTATGGAAAAAAAGAACAATCAGATCAACTAGACACGTGAACATTTGTATGTTTTTATGACAAAAAAAAAGATTAGAAATTGTCCAGGATAAAAAGGTTAACAGTCGCTGTCATGTCAAACAGATGTTATTATTTGGCCAGATGATGGACATTCGAAGAGACTGTGCATAATTCTTTGCGTGAGATGTCTCTTTATTATAAACTGAGAATATAAGTATACATACAAGTATATATATATATATATATATATATATATATATATATATATATATATATATATATATATATATATATATATATATATATATATATTGTCTGATAGTATGCAAACAGAATCGTTTTAACACAATATAGAGAAAGGTTAGGAAAATTAAATGAACAGATACCTATATGCATAAACAGAAATTAAAAGTTAATTGATAGGCAGACAGGTGATCCTGAGATTCTTGAGTCTACATAGCATATTCAGTACAAAAGACAATAATAACAGCAGGCAGTTTAGGATGAAGTTAGTTAAGACATGCAGCATCATCATTTTTCGTTATTCGAACAAGGGCGCGTGTCAAATTACAACACAAAAAAAAAGTATTTGTCTCTTAGTTTACTTTTAACAAAACAGATCTACATAGCGATTCACCAACCTAATTAATTCGGTTTCAACCACTATGCTGCCAGTTACTATTAGTTTCATCTACCTCTATTTGAGCGATCAAGTCGCAACCTTACTCAAGCTAAAGCGTGGCTTACAATCTGGTAAACAAATCTGTACACAGTTAATGAGTTGTGATTACTATTTCTTTTCTCTTTTAAACGATGGGTAACACTTACATGTTTCGTAAAAAAGGGTAAATTTAAATACACAAAAACGCCTATTGTAAAAATAGTATATACCTAAATGATCTCGATGTATTTAAACTTATATATTTTTGGTGTAAACTCTTTTATTTAGGACTTAGACAGCTTTATATCTATACTGCGAAGAAGTACGAGCCCATCGAAGCATTTCTTTGAACTGCTTAGTGTGACACTATTTTATTCATTAAAGTACAACTGAATAATCATACACACTACTATAACAGTCTGCACAACACAATTTGTAAGCACCAACCAATGCTAGTACCAAAAGTGTACATCAAAGTGGAGCAGCTTTGAACACATGAAGGAATGTTTGCAAATAACAGCTCCAAAAGTGAAAAACAAACACTCAGTAACTATCTTGAAAAAAATACTTCGCTGAACCTCATCAGTACATCGACCTAAACGACAGAAAAAGAAAGAAATCAAAAGCAGTAGGAAGCCGCAAGAGATGAAAAGAGAAAACAATGACTAATCATCGCATGAGGATTTCAAAAATGAGTAGATGCATCTCCACCACTGACATCGATTATGAGTAATAGCAAAACAAATAGGTTTTGTTGTCACATGCACCACAACCGACAGATCTACACATCAAAAGACAGAACAGAACAACCCAAACCTCAGGAACCCATAACACGCTACAGTATACTCGGCTCTACCATATTCCCACCCAAACCTATTTGCCTGTAATTGAACATTAAAGTAGTGAGTGACAAGGAACCTACGGTAAAAACTCACAACCCTCAAAAGGACACTTCATACATTCATAAACACAGAATTTAACTACACACAGGCAGATATTTTATGAGCGCTAGGATGACACAAATCTTTTCCTCATGCAGACACCTCAAGAAGAAACAGCCTTCCGTGGTGTAGGGAGCTGAGAAGTGTCAACTGTCCGCACGCTTCCTGTAGTATTCTAAACCAAATCAAACATAACCCATCCCCCTCAATTCTGTCTCCTCCTTTGCCTTCATCTCTTGACACTAATATTAAGCCTCTTACACCTTCCTCAATCTCTGACTCTGCAACCATTGCCAACGAAACCTTATTCCTAGTCTTCCAAGACCTCACCATCGATTTCACGTAGGAGTTCTCAACGTCCGAACTCTATATCGAATTGGACAGCAAGCATCGGTCGCCAAAACTCTGGAATCTCGAGCCATGGATGAATGGTGAGTCTCTAAGACACGTATACAGGACCCGTGTGTGGTTATTAAACTGACCTCGCCTGGCCGTAACAGTAAATCTTCGAAATTCACCATGAGAGCATCTGGAGATCGAATGATTAGCTCTCATTGACTCGCTGGTGTACAGGCATAACATTGAGCCGTAGGGCAAAAGGTGCGCTTCTCGACTAGATACTAGTCAACAACCGTCTATGTGCTATTCAACTGAATGGATCCGTAAGGACTAGGAAAAACCGTTAGACCAACCGACGTCTGTTCGTAATCTCCACCTACACAGAGTTCTCAGGTAGTGTGTGGGAATCAGAGGAAGTGCCGTCAGACTAGTGCACTTCACTGATAATTCCAGTCTATAAGAAGGAGAGAAGTCTTGTCACAACCATAGAGGAATCGGTTTGACTAATATTGTGTCTAAGATCCTAGGATCCATAGTTATCCGACGTCTAACTGGAGTTCGAGAACGGTAAACTCTAGAAAACCAGGCAGGTTCCAGACCTGGTCAAAGGTGCATCAACCATATATTCGCCATCCGACAGGTTCTGGAAAACAGGCAAACCTACCGGCCAGTGGACGACATGCCATATTTCTTGACTTGAAAGCGGCATTTGACTCAGTCGACCGTGAGGTGTTGTGACGGTGTCTGACTGTAAAGGCAGTACAGTGCCCAGCAAGTATATAATGCTCATCAAATATCTCTACTCAAACTCACACAGCCGCATAAGGGCTTATGGGAATTGACGACAACTAGTGGTGTCCACCATGGATGCCCACTGTCACCGTTCCTATTTAATTTCGTTATAGGCGTACTAATGGACATTAGCTTATGTTTGTCTGACTTCACAGGGACTGACCTACTCCCTGGAGGCCAATCTGGTTGACTCGGAATATGCAAATGATATTTTCCTACCGGCTGAAGACGCTGACGAAATGCAGAGTCTTCTGGACGCGTTGGGTAGAAACCTGAGTATGTTTGGCATACGTTTCGCTTGCACACGTCAAATGTAAGATAATGCTCCAGGACTGGTCTGCAGTAAATATACCCAGTTTAGTGATAGTGAGTCAAGTGGTGGAATTTGTCTACCACTTGTTTTACTTGGGAAGTTGCATCAGGTCGAACGCGTTGGTTGATGACAGAATCTCAACTCGGATACAGAAGACCCGTTTGGTACTTGCCAACTTGCGTCACCTGTGGTGCTCACTGGCGAGATATCTGGCTATCTATCAAAGGACGAGTATACCGTGCTGCAGTCTGTTTTGTCCTGTTGTATGGTTATGAGGTATGGCAGCTGAAAGTAGAAGACATGAAGCGATTACAGGGTTTCGATCACAGGTGTCCGTAGCATCACTCGCGTTTGGTGGAGTCACTGTGTGAGCAATGTTGAAGTCAGGCGAAGGGTACTAGGCAAGTCGATTGGTGAGGTTGTGAAGCTTAGTCGACTGAGATGACCTGGACATGTACTACACATGCCGAGCCATCGCCTACCTCGATGTATCATGCTAAGGGAAGTTGGGTTAGTTTGGAAGAGGCCTCACGGTGACCAGACCAAGACGTAGCAGCAGTCAATGAAGTGTCTTACTGTTGGTCTGAGCTGTGTGGGGAGATGTAGACTGTCTGGTTGGGGTTCCTAAAACGAAAGGAATCGGTGGTTGAGGACTGTTGGTGGGATGGCTGAAAATTGGTCACAATGGTGCAGTTGTATTTACTCTTTGGTATCTTCTAAAGCTTAAATATTTGAAGTAATCTTTGTCTTCAAATTGCTTATTCTCTCACACAACGTTTTCTGCTTTGATATCACTTTTTCTATCCACCTGTTCTTTGTGTACTACTGTGAAGTGTGCTGACTTGAGGTGATGCACTTGTGTTGATTCTGTCTGTCTGCCTGTCTATATTTCCCATGCTATCTGAGTTGGTGAAGGTTTACAGCCTCATCAACTGACATACCTTTTTTACCTAAAACTCTACGACTGTCTTCTGTGCTAGCATCTAGTCAGATTTATCTGGATGAAAGAAATCCTATTAATTCTAAGAGTTCCTTTTCCTACTAGAGACAAATATTCTCGATACCTAAAAGGCTGAAAGTTAGTCTTATATGCTAGTATTTAACCTTGAGATTACATTTCCATTTAGATAAACAGCTGGAATTTACATATACTACTACAGCAGCTGATCGGTAGAAAAGCATAACTGTTATCAATATTAAAATGACACTCTTCTACATCACTTTTATGTCCACGAAATATCACGTAACATATTCCTTGATCACGCTGTTCACGAAATCTCCAACAAAAATATCTCAAAATATTTTTTTAAATCACTACCTAGATATACGAAAAGTTGTTGTAATCATTAGAAAGAAACTAAAACCACCTTTCCATCCGCATCAAGTCTGATGGCTGAACCAAAGTCGATTAACTTCAAATGTCCACTTCTTTCAATTGCAAAGTTTTCAGGTTTCAGATCGCTAAAAAATAATTTTAGAAGACAGCTTGGAATCACTGTGTAGAGTAAAAGTATGTGGAACTTTTATTTCATGCGATAATAAAATATTAAAATGAGATCCCCACATATTAGGAAGGAAAAGAATTGCGTGAAAGTTCTTACTTGTATCTTTTGGAAAAGGGGAAATGGAAAACAATATTCGCCTTCAACTACATTGTAATCACCAGTGATGACTATGAATTTTACACTTTAGTCCTAAGCTGTGAAAAAATTTGAAGCGAAAGAAAATTCCCTACAAGAAAAGACTTTCGATTATGTCACAATCCTAACAAACTGCATCTCTAACGAGACTGATCGTAACAACGGGCAGGCTTAAAGCGATCTCTATCTCAATGGGTATTTGATTGGTATGTGCGTCTGATGACCACTTTGCTTAACACGCACAAGCATTACGCTGCAACCGGTGGTTTGAAAGGCTTTCAAAAAACGAAGGACGGTTGGATAGTCATTAGGATATCTAAAATGGGAACGCACTCAGACAAAAAGAAATCACACAAAATGAATTAGGTGAAGTTATGACTTCAAGCAACACATCAGAGTAACAATTAACTAAGGAACTGTGCCATCGGATAGGAAAAAACTTCATAAAACCCACTCAATTTAATCATTCTCTCAAATGCAGCCAGGAATCAAACTACAGAGGTGAACAGTCAGTCTTTCAATCAAACGAGATTTTGCGACTTGACTTTACAAAGGCTAAATGGTTAACCTGATATCGATGATACACACTTCTTCGTCTGATCACGTGTAAATGATGAAACCAATGTGTTAAAAGGACTGTGGATATTGACAGAGAATCTAGTCATTATAGAACTGTGACGCAAAAATACCATTTTGGTGACCGATATAAAAAATTTTCATCAAAATCAGATCTGGGAACATGGTTAGTGTTTCAGACTCTATAGAGCAAGCTAACACGAGTTCAAACCCTGCTCCACCTATCGAGGCTTGGGTAGCCAGGTAGTATTATTAGTCCTTACACAGATGTGGCTCATTGTCTAGAGAAAGAATATCCACAAGGTTGTTAAGTATATTTTGACTTCGATTTTCAAACAGTGTAAGTGTGCGTACTAGGCACTGAACCATACCCATTGTATTAGGGCTAGAGATACCACCTGGCTGTTCAAACGACGGTAGGTGGAATGAGGTTCTGAATCTGCAACCAACTGATTGAAATTTGAGTGTCTATCGAAACGCGTCAAAGACCAAGTGGTTATAGCTAGAAAACAAACAACTTACATCCTATTAAAGTTGATTTTTAAGCCACTTCTGAATGAAGATATTTGATATTCAGTGAGCAGCAGCCGAAAGTTCGAGAGGGAAAATTCGTTCTTAGTTATTGACTTCGGATACACTTTTAATTTAGTACATCGAAAATACGAATACACATTGTATAAATCAACGAAGTTTCCGTAGAGAACTACTGAGCTCACAAAATGTGTACCATACAACTTCAAAGATGAAAACCGGTTATGAAAAAAGTTTTGGATTCATCTTATTACATAACATCTGGTGAGACTTAAAGTACAAAAACCTCCTGCATCTATGGATGTGCAATAATTTACCAAGGTATGGTTTGAAAAAGATGACTATTTAATTCCTAAACATACCAGTGAATGTAACCCATTTGATGCAAAGAGTGAACAGCTTCTACAGCTTCGGCAGCATAAAACTGTACCATCCTTGAGTCCAACAAATGACCAACTCTGAAAATGAAATACAAGATATTTAAGTTATACATACTGTCATGTAGTCATTGGCGGAAAACCAATAAACAGTACACGATAGCCAGATGAGTTTTAACTTCAAACAACATTAAGTTACGACTAGGAACAACAATAATAACCAGTTAGTCAGTACGACAAAGCTTATCCATGATATGAAAAACGTTAAAAGAGCCAAAAATACAGCAAAGAAAGAAACCTGACAATATTCACCCTAATTAAAGATGATCTACAAAAATCTGGATTTTAAACGGCAGTTTCTCACTGCATTACAAAGTTACAGCGAAAACAAATTGGACATGGAAATAGTTCTCCACTAGTTTAAGAACACAAAAGTATTTTCTTTGCTCTTACAAAGTATTTGGTGAAAATCTCAGCTCCTGATATCAATGTGAGATACCTTCAGTTTAATAAGTACTAAGATCAGTTACACACATATTTTTGGCCATTAAGGCACCTCGAAGATGGATAATTTATCAAGCACAAATTTACCTATTATCTTTACTGGAAACACATTTCTTACGACCTCATTCGTAAACATGCAGATCATCCACAGTAGTAGTATACATGACGAACAATTAGTTTGAGCAGTATTATGGCAGTCATACTTAGATGACGTTCCTTTCATTTAACAGCACAAATGCCTTGTGACATTCCATACTACTCAAAACTTATTTTGTTAACTCGCTGTCAAAAAAATCTTTACCACACTTGTAAAACAGTATAAGTTGGCACACTTCACAGTAGATCAGAAAGAGATCCAACGAAAATGGAAATTAAATTACGATATGAGACGAGTGCGAAGAACATACAGATGTCCAATAACAAGAAGTTCAGCATTAAGAGATAGAATATAAATAAATTTTTAGCACTGGGTGAACTTATAGTCTACACAGCCAGTTTGTCACACGCATCTTGAGCCCCGACTAAATATAGTAGTTATGACTAAAAATTAAAACTAAAAACTTTAAGAAAAATGAAATGCAGGCCAGCAACCATCTACATTTTTGAAGACTAAGTTATGAATTACAATTTTGTATGAGCTCTTATAATACTAACTAGTTGCCCAGACATCAGTAGATGGATAGGGGTTAGGATTCAAAACCCACCGGCTGAACTTCAAGAAGGAAATTTTACAAAGCAAAAAGCAGGCATGAGTCGATCCAACCTTTTATAGCGAAGTATCCCATTACTGTTAGGTGATTCCTAACGATGGATGGATGACCAGTTGCATAGTGACTGAAAGTAATTATTGAACCAGAAGTCAACACAAAAGCAGGAGTCACATACTTGCTTAAAAAGATGTATAAGTCGCCACCAGGTTCATAATCCATAACGAGATGCAAATGCTTTTCATCTTGAAACGCATAATGTAAGTGAGGAAGCCAAGGATTTTCAATGGCAGCCGCTTGAGCTAGTACAGTTCTTTCAAGCAGAATTTGAGATCCCTCCTATACAAAAAATCATGAGAAACGTATAAAGATTATACAAAAACCTACCGGGTCATGGTGTAACCAGGCTCCCTTAAACTGGGACTTCATTGCATATACCGAATGAGGCGGTGATACTTCTCGCACAACACGCACTATACCACAAGCTCCTCTGCCAACACAGGCACCAAGTTTGAAATCTGATAATTTCAGACGAAGTTCCGATAACCGAGCGATGATCGGTTTAACTGTAAGTGAACACAAAGATAAAACGCCGATCAGTAATGTGGTACAATATTCAATGCACAAGAGGTTGTCATCAGCAATAATTACTGGTGCTTAACAAACTCAACTAAAATGCGATATTTAGTTGAATCTGAAGTGGGAAGCAAATCTGCACAGAAAAAGAGTAACTAACAAAATTCTTCTTCAAAGCTGAGTAGTGCAAACATCAAACAAAGACTGAATTACCTCTTCTACGGAAGAATTTCGCAGCCAAAACAGTGGGTGAATGCTCATATTCTTCTGCTGTCCGATCGTCTGCATTGTCCATACAATCGTGATAAATTTGGTCAACCAGTGAATTGGTTACAAAAAGACAGTCTAGAAGTCCATCAACTGATAATAGACACGGATCAGGGTCGATTGGACGATTACGTTTTTGAGTGGGTAAAGTCCATAAAACACTTTTCGACCCCTTTTCGAATGAAAGACTGATTCCCATACTGGGTGAAAAAAGTAACGGAGGCCTTGTTAACAAGTCAAATAAATAACTCGCACGTTTAGAAGTCCAATTCAAGCGAATGACATCTTCCAGATATGTCACACTTTCCCTTTCTTGACCATTGATCTTACACTTTAGCACATCTGTATCTTGAGTAATCTTCTTATCATCTGTTTTTAACTCGTTATCTACACCAACAGCTTTCAATTCCATCCGTTTTGAATCACTTTTACCGTTGGTCTGAAAGTGATGTGGTGTAGATGAAATCAGAATATTATCCATAGATTTTATCGGTGAAGCCATTCACAACCTAAAAGTAAATCTTAAATTATAATGGAGAAACACTGGAAATAGAAAAGAATGTGTGTAAAAAAATATTTATTCAGTATACACTTGACAAGTGATTACTTCGATGAGACTGGTTTCGAAATGTCTGAGGAAAACGAAGCAGCAATTTTAAAACAGGTAGAAAGATATGAGAGTTGGTTGTTGTTGCTCGAACATACTACGCGTGTTAACATTGAGGAAAGAAACTTTACATGACTCCCGAACTGGTCAGAAAGTATTTCTAATTTTTCTTTACAAATTGAATTATTAGAGCCTGAAGACAGATTACTTATCCACAAGTCTTGTAGTTGAAGACCCATGCTGCAAAGATTATGTATCTCTGTAAAAAGTAATGAGCAAGATTCAGTTAGTAGACAGACAGATTGTAATTCACTGATTAAATTATTGTGGTCCTGCACAAGATCAGAAAAACTAAGCGTCTCAGGAATACTGAAATTGATATCCTTGGGATATGAACAGTCAGGAAGACACCATTTAGAGGAAAATTGAATTCTGATAGCTTCAATTTTATGCGCCAAGAAATCATGTAAACTTGTGAAAACGAATAACATTTTGATGCGTAATACAATAAGATAATGATCAAAGGGAAAATGTTTTGACATTTCTCTTCTCAAACTGCTAAGACGTAAGTTCTCCAGACTCCATTTGGTGTATTTGATCTAAAATATAAGTAATTTGAAAAATAATTAAGATGAGGAATAACTTATTGCAGTTATTTCGATATCACTTTGCAAATGAAATAATGATGTAAAGATTACTATACCATAATAAATACGCATACTCTTGTTTAGTTTCTAGAAATAACCAAAAATATAAATGCTAAGATCTGACTACTACACTTACGAATACAAGAAAAAGGTAAACAAAAACGAAAAGTTGATGGAAACAGTTAAGCCCTATGGTGCAAAACTAATGAGCAGATATAGTTTTACAACTAAGAACAGTGATTGAATACATAACTTACCACTTCTGATCAACAGGTGTGACTATTTCAAAAAATCTTATCCCTACAATCTACAGTTCACAAAACTTTTTAAGCTAGCAGTTACAGTTCGTTACATTACCTTAGTCTGACCATATTAAGAACTTTTTTAGTTCTTATCAGTGCGAAAAATGATTGATCTTTGTTTACTTTGATACCAGTCCTTTTCTGTCGACTTGTTCTTTACATGCTACTGTGAAGCGCGGCAACTTGAACCAATACACTTGTGTGCGAGGCTCTGTGCTGATTTTATCTGTCTCTCTGACAATCCTATTAGGTTGATAGTAGATTTCAGGGTCTACCAATACTAATGCTTTACATTTATGCCCCAGATCCACTCTAAGTTTTGCTCAACAAGCTTTTGCTAAAATATGACTTACTTTTATCTTTCCAGAACCCAGATACTGGAGGATATTTAAAGTTTTTACTGGCTTTTACAGCCTTGAATCACGTAGTATAAGTGCGTACAAAAAACAGTCCACTAATGCCATATTCGAATTAACTATTCTGAAACCATGTGTAATTTGAACCTAGTATAAAGTTCAAACTCTGATACAGACTGTAAGAAAAGTAGATTTGGATGACCCAGGAAGCTCAAACTATTGATGTATGCTGTGTCTCACAGGTCCACGTGCAAGGTCCCGGTGAAGCGTTTAGAAATAGTTAGTGATCTGTAATGCTCGTAAAAGAATGTTTCTAATTAAGTTCTGCACATATATTTTCCCATAAAGAACAATTTTTCGTAGAGTTCATCTACAGTTTGAATATACATTTCGAGTTTGTTAATCAAGTGTTTTGCATTTAGTCGGCTTTTCTATGGATTTGAGAATTTGTGAGATTCGTATGTTTCCTACGAGCTACACAGTGATTTCCGCCGTAACATTCAGCCCAAAAAATAGTAAAATCTTTTCTACCCACTCCGCCCCCGTGATATCTGCACCAACGATGTGGGTACATAATAGGATTTACACAAAACACACTAACATACCAAACTTCTAAAAAGTTATACACAAAGGACTTCAATATGATATTACTTCAGCACAGAGGTCACGTATCAATAAATCAACTTTCCGTTAACTGAAAAAGAAACAGCCACCAAAAAAGGCAGCTGGGAAGTGCTACGACATGACATAACATAGTAAAACTAAGAAGAACCTCGCACACACGTGCATCAATGTAGTTGAAGGCGAATATTGTTTTCCATTTCCCCTTTTCCAAAAGATACAAGTAAGAACTTTCACGCAATTCTTTTCCTTCCTAATATGTGGGGATCTCATTTTAATATTTTATTATCGCATGAAATAAAAGTTCCACATACTTTTACTCTACACAGTGATTCCAAGCTGTCTTCTAAAATTATTTTTTAGCGATCTGAAACCTGAAAACTTTGCAATTGAAAGAAGTGGACATTTGAAGTTAATCGACTTTGGTTCAGCCATCAGACTTGATGCGGATGGAAAGGTGGTTTTAGTTTCTTTCTAATGATTACAACAACTTTTCGTATATCTAGGTAGTGATTTAAAAAAATATTTTGAGATATTTTTGTTGGAGATTTCGTGAACAGCGTGATCAAGGAATATGTTACGTGATATTTCGTGGACATAAAAGTGATGTAGAAGAGTGTCATTTTAATATTGATAACAGTTATGCTTTTCTACCGATCAGCTGCTGTAGTAGTATATGTAAATTCCAGCTGTTTATCTAAATGGAAATGTAATCTCAAGGTTAAATACTAGCATATAAGACTAACTTTCAGCCTTTTAGGTATCGAGAATATTTGTCTCTAGTAGGAAAAGGAACTCTTAGAATTAATAGGATTTCTTTCATCCAGATAAATCTGACTAGATGCTAGCACAGAAGACAGTCGTAGAGTTTTAGGTAAAAAAGGTATGTCAGTTGATGAGGCTGTAAACCTTCACCAACTCAGATAGCATGGGAAATATAGACAGGCAGACAGACAGAATCAACACAAGTGCATCACCTCAAGTCAGCACACTTCACAGTAGTACACAAAGAACAGGTGGATAGAAAAAGTGATATCAAAGCAGAAAACGTTGTGTGAGAGAATAAGCAATTTGAAGACAAAGATTACTTCAAATATTTAAGCTTTAGAAGATACCAAAGAGTAAATACAACTGCACCATTGTGACCAATTTTCAGCCATCCCACCAACAGTCCTCAACCACCGATTCCTTTCGTTTTAGGAACCCCAACCAGACAGTCTACATCTCCCCACACAGCTCAGACCAACAGTAAGACACTTCATTGACTGCTGCTACGTCTTGGTCTGGTCACCGTGAGGCCTCTTCCAAACTAACCCAACTTCCCTTAGCATGATACATCGAGGTAGGCGATGGCTCGGCATGTGTAGTACATGTCCAGGTCATCTCAGTCGACTAAGCTTCACAACCTCACCAATCGACTTGCCTAGTACCCTTCGCCTGACTTCAACATTGCTCACACAGTGACTCCACCAAACGCGAGTGATGCTACGGACACCTGTGATCGAAACCCTGTAATCGCTTCATGTCTTCTACTTTCAGCTGCCATACCTCATAACCATACAACAGGACAAAACAGACTGCAGCACGGTATACTCGTCCTTTGATAGATAGCCAGATATCTCGCCAGTGAGCACCACAGGTGACGCAAGTTGGCAAGTACCAAACGGGTCTTCTGTATCCGAGTTGAGATTCTGTCATCAACCAACGCGTTCGACCTGATGCAACTTCCCAAGTAAAACAAGTGGTAGACAAATTCCACCACTTGACTCACTATCACTAAACTGGGTATATTTACTGCAGACCAGTCCTGGAGCATTATCTTACATTTGACGTGTGCAAGCGAAACGTATGCCAAACATACTCAGGTTTCTACCCAACGCGTCCAGAAGACTCTGCATTTCGTCAGCGTCTTCAGCCGGTAGGAAAATATCATTTGCATATTCCGAGTCAACCAGATTGGCCTCCAGGGAGTAGGTCAGTCCCTGTGAAGTCAGACAAACATAAGCTAATGTCCATTAGTACGCCTATAACGAAATTAAATAGGAACGGTGACAGTGGGCATCCATGGTGGACACCACTAGTTGTCGTCAATTCCCATAAGCCCTTATGCGGCTGTGTGAGTTTGAGTAGAGATATTTGATGAGCATTATATACTTGCTGGGCACTGTACTGCCTTTACAGTCAGACACCGTCACAACACCTCACGGTCGACTGAGTCAAATGCCGCTTTCAAGTCAAGAAATATGGCATGTCGTCCACTGGCCGGTAGGTTTGCCTGTTTTCCAGAACCTGTCGGATGGCGAATATATGGTTGATGCACCTTTGACCAGGTCTGGAACCTGCCTGGTTTTCTAGAGTTTACCGTTCTCGAACTCCAGTTAGACGTCGGATAACTATGGATCCTAGGATCTTAGACACAATATTAGTCAAACCGATTCCTCTATGGTTGTGACAAGACTTCTCTCCTTCTTATAGACTGGAATTATCAGTGAAGTGCACTAGTCTGACGGCACTTCCTCTGATTCCCACACACTACCTGAGAACTCTGTGTAGGTGGAGATTACGAACAGACGTCGGTTGGTCTAACGGTTTTTCCTAGTCCTTACGGATCCATTCAGTTGAATAGCACATAGACGGTTGTTGACTAGTATCTAGTCGAGAAGCGTACCTTTTGCCCTACGGCTCAATGTTATGCCTGTACACCAGCGAGTCAATGAGAGCTAATCATTCGATCTCCAGATGCTCTCATGGTGAATTTCGAAGATTTACTGTTACGGCCAGGCGAGGTCAGTTTAATAACCACACACGGGTCCTGTATACGTGTCTTAGAGACTCACCATTCATCCATGGCTCGAGATTCCAGAGTTTTGGCGACCGATGCTTGCTGTCCAATTCGATATAGAGTTCGGACGTTGAGAACTCCTACGTGAAATCGATGGTGAGGTCTTGGAAGACTAGGAATAAGGTTTCGTTGGCAATGGTTGCAGAGTCAGAGATTGAGGAAGGTGTAAGAGGCTTAATATTAGTGTCAAGAGATGAAGGCAAAGGAGGAGACAGAATTGAGGGGGATGGGTTATGTTTGATTTGGTTTAGAATACTACAGGAAGCGTGCGGACAGTTGACACTTCTCAGCTCCCTACACCACGGAAGGCTATTTCTTCTTAACGTATCTGAAAGAGGCCTGTCATACACAGCCGTTTGTGGGTTGTTGGTTCGGGGTTTGGTTCCTGTAACGCTGGAGAGAGAAAACGTATACCGCCGGCACCGGAAGATCGTGAGGCAAGGAAGAGTGTAGTATTTTGAGTCCGAGTTTTCCTACCCACTTCCTCTTCTGATTGGGAATGCAATATCGGTGTGACACTGCCTGGTCTTCCAAGGGGAACACGTTGTTGCTGTCAACCCATCCAGCTAGCAGTAGTAACTTCACCCTCCGGCCCCCATCATAGCGTAATAAGTTACATTACAGTGTAACTGTTTTTCGTCTTACCACTATCTGACAGGCCTTTCTGGCATGGTGGGACCTTGGGGGAAAGAGCGTTTCAGTCACAGTAGCTCGTTGGGTCATTGGCGCAGACCAACGGTCAAACACCCTATGTACTGATGCCGTGTTTTAGTCTGGTCCTCTCTAGCTTTTTCTGGTCTAAACCTACTGCAACCAACCTTGTGTAGTGTGACAGACGGCTACCAGTCACGCGTAACACATGTGTCGACCACCTGAACTGATGAAAATTCACAACCCTATCAACTGACTTTCCTGTTCCCTGAAACTCTACAGCTGACTCCTACATTACCGACAAGGTGACACCATGACACACGCCCTACGCTACGAAGGCGAAGGTGATCGAACACCCAAAGCCTGGTATCCTCTAGTTTTAATGGCCGTTTCATAGTCGGTAGAACAGAGCAAACTGGAGCATAGTACACTCGATTCTCAACAGATAATGGGAAACCATGGCGGAACCATGAAAGTTGACGAAAGCCGAAAAACTGTCCATGAACAACAATTTGTGTTTGAGTGGCAAGAAACGTATTCCAAACATTATTAAATTGCCAGGAGATTCTCCACCCTAATAAGACTATCTCATTTGCGTACCGTAGATCCACCACAGATTCTCCTGCGGTTAGATTAATTTCTTTAAAGTTACTCCGACATGCCCACGGGTTTTCGAGTACGGAGCCTTCAACAGAGTGATATACTCACTTGGCACCTTTTTCAGTGAGACTGCCACAACACCTATCGGTCGACAGTCAACTGATGCCTTCAGGTCAAAAAATATGGCAAGCATCTACCACCGGTATGTCTGTGTTCTGAAACATGATGATTGATGTACACACTTTGTTTTCAAACTATGGTTTTCTCGACTCTATCAGACTATCACTTAACGTGTGCAGAATAATCTACATCTTGTCAGCGTCTTTATCCAGAAAGACAATCATCTACGTACCCACGATCCCTAAAGAGTTCCCCGTAATAAGATTAATGCATGTCAAGTCAGGCGGAGTGACACCCGAGTAAGCACGTTTATGACGAAGTTAAGTAAGAATGAAGAGATTGGATGATGTATGTTGAAGATGCTTCTACAATTCTCAAGTACAAAGCTATTACTTCAGAACTAGTTTGCTCCGACTTCGCCTTCGACAGCAGACAGTGAAGTGAATAAATTTGTATATTTCACTCGAATGATCGCATTATTTTTTAGTGGGATAGTGACTGGCTAAATATGACTAAGGAAAATTTCATTTGTTTTACTGTAGTGATCATCAAATGGAAATGTAACTCACAACAATACACTATGGGAAACTATCACGCGGGGCTATTGATAGGACGTAGCTGTTTTCACTAACTTCTCTTCATTTGCCTCTCATCATCATCATCATTATCAACATAGGACCAGGCATTACTGCGTCACGGTCCGAGTTGCCACACCTCATATCAGCACATCAAGTAAAAAGGTAGTGAGGTGAAGGATGAAGATAAGTGAATGCAGTCAAAAGAAATATAAAGTACGAAAAGAAAGGAAAGAGGAGTGACAAAATAGTGAGATTCGGTATAGCGTTGTTAAGATGAGGATTATGTGTGTATACATCTGCGCCACTGACTTCGGTTCTGAGCCATATCACCTAGGGTCTCCAACCACTGGTTCCTCTTGTCCCGTGGACTCCAACCACCTAGTCTGCATCGTCCTACATGGCTTAAACCAACAGTCAGAGACTTCATACATTGGTGCCATGTTTTAGTCTGGCCACCTCGGGCCTTTTTCCTGCCTGGACCTACTTCGGCCAACATTGTGTGACGAGGCAATCGGTGACTAGGCATACGTAGTACGTGTCCCAACCATCTCAGTCGATGAAGGTTCACAACCTCGTCGACTGACCTACCTTTTCTCCCTAAAACTCTACACCTAACTTCTGCATTACTCACATGGTGACACCACGGAATACGTCCTATACTACGAAGCCTCTCACAATTATAGTTTTTATTTATCCACCTGCTTCTGGTGAATTTCTTGGAAATACCTTGCTTTTCATGCTTGTTGTCTAGGCCTACGTTAGGTAAAAATTGGTTTGTCAATGGGTAATTCAAGGGCTTAAACTAATGAATCAATGCTGCACTCTTCAACTTAGAAAAACAGTAAGATGCAGAAACAGCTGAAAATAACTGCAGCGAATCCCTTTCTAGTTTTCCAAATTAATCTTGTTGACAAAGCAAACTTTACTGGATCGCCCAAAAGTCCGCACAGTGATCGCGAACAGTGGAATTTGGAGAGGGAAAAGGAAATGTAAATTCCTGATCATTAGATTTCAGGTGGACCAGTAAAAGACTGTGACTAGTGACAACTCCTAGGAAACCAAGCATAGACTGGAGCACATCTAGGAGAATATAAGCGGTTGGAACTTATCAGCTGCCCATACCGTGGAACGTCATTCCCTCAAAAAGAAACTAGAATGGAAGCCAAAGGATATCTGATTGAGGTCGGCCACAAACGACCTTTAGAGAATCACACGATTCATATTTAAGCGCGTTGAGTTCTGATTACAACAAACCATACTCCCGACACCGGGAACCCACAGGACAGGGAGCGTGGCATTTCTAGAACTGACCTTTTCTAACACCCTCTCGATAAAAAGAGGAATCATTAGCACGGAATAATGATTGTCCGCGGTAAACACTTTAATACTCATTGTCCAGTTAGCAGTAGGACTTCGCCCCAGAACTCCCACCATAGCGAGAGCTATTTACACTGACGGAAACTGGTTTCAGCCTAAGCACTATCCAACAGACCCTTCGGGCATGATGAGTCCCAATGAATCAGTCGTTCCGGTCGGCATACCTCGTTGCCAAAGACGACGTCAAGGAATGTTGAGCAGAGCACTTTGAAGTCCCGACCAACTGAAATGAAAATGAAATGCATTCGGTAACCGTGTGTATGCGCCCCATATAGGTAACCAGCCACATCTGTTTGGGATCTAGTGACTACCTAGTTAGGTGCAGTGGGGTTCATATCAATGACCCATCGGTTGGGAACCGAGTGCCTAGACTAATAGGCCACACACCAGCAAAACCGACTAACCGTCACTGGCCCTTTAACTGCAAGACATCCGATCACACTAAATAAAAATCCCATGCTGGTCCTCAAACCTAGGCCTGAAATAATAAAATTCATTGAGTTCTGAATCAACTCTTTTCAGATAGTGTGGCCCACGATTTGCAGCGTCGTTCAGTGTTTTACCTTAGGCAAGGTAGTTGGGAGTATTGCTATGTGAGTGGTTGGGTGGTAAGTTAAGTAGATAGACGAACTAATGTCAGTTTGCATAAACTGTACTTAACATATTATGATGCACCAGCTACCTTGACTCGTAATAACTGGAGGAACAGCAGCATGGAGAAAACTTAAGCGTGGTGCCTCTGAAACACGTAGGAAATTCCTGACTAAACTATACACAATAGCTCAGGTTTCCTGTCCACCACCAGACAACCATGGTTTGTGACAAGAAAACTACGACAACGACCTGAAATTAAGTAGTCGATTCCTTTCATTCGTTGTATTTACTTATAACTAGTGAAAATATTACGTAACGTGCGACATCACATACGTTTGTGCACCAGGCCATGAGTGACACCTTATGTATGGAAATACGGCTAGTTGGCTTAGGAAATGTTTCCAGGCAAAAGGTCCCGAGTTCAAACCGCGTGGTGCCCTCAGCTTCCATACAATGTGTACCCTACAACCTAGTACATAAGTTTATACTAAGGCCATTTTCACAATTGTGACGACACCTGATGCTGAGACTGGTATGCAGAACGGACTTTGAGTTTGAGATTCTAGTTAAAAATCGAAGGACTATGCTGACCAGCTACAACACCTGATTACCATACCTTTTTATTGCCTACATTTCGTTTTTTCCTTCGTAAGTTAACATGCGCTTGCTTCGTTTCTTGAAGAAATAAAGTAAACAAGAATCTGATTTTGCCTTCGGCCATTGCTTTCATTTACATGTCATCCTACGACGGGATCTTCTGTGGAGCTATGACACTGGTTAGGGCGATTGATTTCCGATCGATAGGTGGCAGGTTCAAACCCAGCTTCACCTAACGAGGTCTGATCGGCCAGGTAGTACCACCAACCCTCACAAGAGATACGGCTCGTAGCCTACTACACGAACATGCACAAGCGTGCAGAATGAATTTCGACAACTGAACAGCATACACCCCTACCGATTGAGTTACTCTTAATGCTTCTGACAAATACACACACCAACAGAGTATTCAACTAGTGAATCGACTTGATGCTTTCCCAATCGATTAACTACACAACAGAAAGTATGTCACCGAGAGTTGTTTAACATCAAGCAAGGCTAAGTCACCTTATCAATTCAGAGACAATTTATTCAAATTTACAAATTAGTATGAATAGCCAACGTACCTGAAGCAGGAAAAGGAATACACCATTGTAAACTGTGATACTTTTTTCATCCAAAATTATATTTGCAGGCCAGTCTACATGGTAGTTGAGACTTAAATCCTTGATCAAATCAAGACGTGAGTTTGTGGATCGACTATTGAATGAACAATCCATTTTCTGAACACCAAATACAAAGAAAGAGTATTCTAGATAACGAAAAACATTCTGTCCCTGAGAGTTTCGGGATGTATCGTTGAAATATCCTTGAAGATTGATTGTGAGTCCTGCCGAATCAAGCTTTCTATTATTTAAAGATGAAACAATGCAAAAAAATTGGCGTGCAAAGTCATTCATCTTGTCACCAGCACCAAAAAGGTATACTGCTCCCACAGTAGTCAAACAGTCTCCAATACTTCGTATGCCGCCTTCGCTCAGATGAGGAAGAGTAATCGATAATAACTGCTGATTGATGAGCATTCTTTGTTTACATACAAAATTTTCTAGCTCCAATTTCAACGACTTCGCACTATTATTCGGTCTGTCGAAAGTAGAGTATGTTTGTAAGGAAACTGGGCATTCATAGCAGTCGGGTTTGAAAGCCTTTTGTTTTTCTGATAGTAAATATAAGTAGGTGAGACGGAACTCATCACGTACCTGAGAAGGGTCTATAGCAATTTTCTCCAGAAAGGAATAGTCTGCGGTCTCTTCACAAATTGAAATGATCAAAAAAAGAGCTTTGATTACATCAAATATTTGGTCAAGGACAGAAAAAAAAATACATGGCACGTCAGAAATACCAATCTTTTTTTTCTTAGGTTTCAAAGCAGTGTGCCAGAACCTAGGGTCATTGGGTGGAATATTATGGTCGATGTCAACAAACAGCTGGACGAATGAATCCGAATATGAAGTGGATCCTGAAAACAACTTGAATAATGAGGAAAGGAAAGGGAAAAACGTATAGACAAACGTAGTATGAAGCATGAACACGGCATATTGATCGAAATTACAGTCCTCCATAAAAGCTGCAGTGGAGTATATTGTATCTAGTAGCTTCGCGACAGTATGCGCCTCTCTCAGCCTCCGCAAATCACTTTCGATAGTATCTCTTATAACTTTCGTTAGAATTTTGGCGCGGTTATACCAAGGAAGCAAGCACTGGTGAAGACTAATGAGAGTAAAAATACCACAGCCACGACTCTTACACTCCAGTTTATGCAGGAAATGATCAAGTTGGGACAAGAATTCATTTACACAGTCAACGAAGGCAAAAATACAAGGATGGGACGTGAAGTCCATCTTGCTTACCACAAACTGAACTAGGAATCTAAGAAATTGTACATGATCATTCCAGCTAGCAAACTTGTGCAGAAAGGAATCAAGAGCGCCATCAGACAAGTGGTTCAGGCATACGAGGTGGGGCTTGAAAATGATATCTCCCTGAATCTTTGTTAACTGTGAAACAAAACTGTTTTCCGCACCAAGTAGGACCCAAATGACTTCACGTATTAGCTGATATTCAGTTAGCTCATATCTTTTGTCGAAATGCCCCACGTATTTAGTTCGATGACCTGATGAATATCTGTTCCACCAATATTCAGGTTGTAGGCTCTTGAAGATGGATTGCAATGAAAAACGAATGTTGGTGGGAACTTCAACATTTGAAGGAAGGTCGTCCCAACGCACTGGATATGACTGGTTATAACCATACTTTTGGTTTTGCTTAGAAACGTCTCCATCGGAAGATTTCGAATCGAAAGTCTCAGATGACGAGGAAAGAGAAGCAATATCGACAGGTAGCTGACTAAACATAAATCCAGCAGAAACTCATACGAAACCTGACTCGAGGATTCAAATCATATTTGCACGACCTAGAGATAATAAACAAAAATGTAGGCAAAACAAACAATAGGGACAGCACGCTGAATGAAAATTCTTTTTTTTCTATCTTTTTAAACGATTAACCGTCATAATACACCATTCTTTCTGAAAACCGTGACTGTCACTTCTATATAATGGTTTCGAAATGTTAAAGACGGGATACCAAGCTTCAATTAACAGTGTTCCGTATCTTTGATATTGTACACAGGCGTAAGTCTCAAAATTAAATCGTGATTAATTCGTTTCACACACTTGTGCCTAGACCAAAAGTATGCGCTGAGTTTCATTTTAAAGCTGTCTATTAAGATTAAGTCGTCCATATAACCGTTGTACTCAACAGCTTCAAAACTCTTCAGTGGGAGAAGCTCTATTCCATGTACAAACTGTGTGATGACTTCTATTCTTAGAACGTTGCCTTAGTAAGTGCTAGACCAATGCATGAACGGGTGGATGATAATGATTGCTGAGTAGGTTATAAGTCAACGTAGGGTTCCTATTATGTCTGTTGTAATCCAAAGGACACAGATTAGTCGTCGGATTCTGTTCATGCGTCTTCGTGGCCAGCCCACAGACCAAATTTTTCGAAACTCTTCTTCATGCATTTGAACACCTGATAAAACCAAATATATCCCTTATAGAACTAGCGGACTGAAAGTCCCTTAGATCCTTCCGCCTGGGCATCGAAATGGGATCTTCGGAATGGGGCCTCATTTATACTTGCTTCTCAAGGGCCCCAACAGGAGCAGTAGAGGAAAATATTAATGGCTTGCCATTCTGGTTGGCACCATTTGGTGTAAGAATGCGTTGAGAGCCTTCCTTTCAATCTCACTGGTATGCAAATGGACCAACATATTTCAACTGAAGGTGTTTGATGGTGTGATGTTCTCTACCTTCTAAAGTAGGTTACATCTTCCAAACATGAAGGAGGTGAAGTGACCCTTTGAACCAGCTCTTTCTCGTCCATCCCTGAAATGATGTCTTCTTGCACTAAACCTACATCTGAATTATAAAAAGGGTTACGTTTGGGTAGGTATAACTAAGAACAGTGTAATACATCATGAACACATGCGTCTGATCGTCCTTTAATGTGAACACCGGAGGTATACTTTGCTGAGCCGAACTGAAGTTTTGCATTTCTCTATCCGATCACATTTTCAGTCATCCAGTTATGGACCCATAAAAGGATAATGTAATTTCGTGGCACAATAACGTAACTACCAAGTTTGCCTCCATAGGTTTTGCAGGTATACATGCTGTTTTGAAAGGTTTAAACAGAAATGTATAAAAATGTACCCGTAGGAACTAGGATATGCTGTGGGCCTTACTGACAAATAATCTGCAACGTTCAGAAATCTTGAAAGTCCCTGCATGTGAAACCCTCGAGCCCTTCTCAGAGGCTAGATAGAATTCCCTAATTTGTTTTACGAAGCAGAATGTGAATAAAATGTCATTCTGCAGCATTAGTTTTATATTCGCCGCGCTCATGTGGAAGCAACTTCACCAAGGGCAACTTGCATAGGATATTCACGTCCTCATCAGAAGAGAATGACACCTACCGGCTCGCAAATTCACCGCCAAAATTTCGAATCACCTGAGCTAAATGATAACAGGTAAGTAAAACGACCTGATGGACCACCAAAAAGGCTAACGGTAGCAGAAAACCGAGCAGGAGGTCCCGTCAAGCCCAACCATATATGATGAAATGGTGACATGGTGATGGCCGCAAACCCTGAAAAGTTGATTAGGCATCAAAAACCACGATTTCGCCGTCCTTCATCTGTTTGAATTTACCCAGAAACTCACTTGCCGGCATCCAAACAGCCTCAATGCTAGGCTTAGGGGTGGATGGGCCTACTTGGCCTCGTTTGTCGAGCCGGTTATCCTCAAGTTTAAGTGGCTGCACAACGCTGTTTACCTACGCCGTAATCTTACGCCTAACTTTCTCCACGAGGTCCTCGGCCACACCTGATTTTATTGGACCAGCAACATTGTATTACCTTACAGTGGTCTCGATCGACAAAGATGTTTGAGACACACTGGTGTTTCTAAACGAAATGCTTACCGCAAAGAAGTTTATGGATGCTGAGTCTGAGTAAAGAATTTGATTCCATGTGTTCGTCGCGGATACGGAAAACTGGGGCAGCTTGGTCTATTGCTGCGATGTTCAATTTTTTGATGAACTCCCAGTATGAGTGCAGGTAAAGACAGCAGCTAGCATCAGGTCAGCCAGCAAAATTTCAAGTCTTTGATGGCACATGAACCCCAACCTTGCTGTATCTACTAGTTGCCAAATATACTGATGTTTCGACCTCTGTATGAAGAAGCACTAGAACATGATGATATAATCCGAGTAGAGCACTTGCTAGAGAGTCAGGTAAAATCACGTACCCATTAGTCAGAACAGGTCGGTTTTAAGCGTTTTTACTTATTCCATCGAATCACTCCTTTCATGCGTTTACGGCGTTCATATCACTGCATCCGTTTCCTGAAAATACGAGGCAGCCTTAGTAGCATTTAACCTTGGGGCAGAGCACCAGACCCCACATCTATAACCTTCTGGGATTAATGATGATCACATAATATTTCCTGACTTCGGTAGCCCCCATACCGACCCTCTTGCCTCACCACCATCTCCATAGACTCGATTCAGTGTTATTCTTCCGCGTTAGACGCCCTACTTTAGCATACGCCATATTACCATTAATACCAACAGTGCTTTGACTTCCATGCTCTCTATCCCAATCTTCCTTGTCCGTTCCTTTCTCTCTTTACCCTCCATAATTTAACCATGTTAATCCGAGTTATCTATTTTATTGCGTTTTCCGTTTTCCTTGAATTTACAATACTTGCCCTCCAATTTCCCTCTTCTTTCTCTTGTTTTCATAAGTCCCCTTTTGGTTCTTTTAGATATCCTTTCGCTGTCTCCACGTTTCTTTTAAGACTATTTCGAACAGCCATCTGACGAGTCCGTCTGCACTACAGTCCCGGGACAGGCAATAGACCTGCTACACGTTTATTCGAAATCCGACAACCCGCTTGCAGACCTATTAAAATAACCGGTGCCCCTATTGGCACCGGCACGATCAAATTTACGTTTCTGAAAAAGTCGCAAGGGTTGTGTGCATCCTGCCACGCCAGCGACGCTTCCAGCCGCATCGAATACTTGTTTCGAGCAAAGAATGTCCTCGGTGGCTTTTCTTCATTCGGAGGTAAACGAAGGTAACACTCTCTGTGTGGCGTTTAACCAAGCTAGGAAAGTGAAGGTCATTCGGAAGTTGTTGACAGATCAGGGGGGAAACCCTTATCCTTCGTAGCTGCTGACTATCCACCAATAAGATCAAGGAAGAACACGGTGGAACAGGCAAGAAGGAACCAAATATTTGATGAATCAGGTCAATATGATAACCTGCTTTAACCAGAAGGTTTCACTCTGATGACGGAAATGTAACGTAAAAAGAGACTTCCGAATGGTGCGGATGGCCAACCAAGCGTCTTCAGCCTAAAATACCAGGTAAAACCGTGGAGGTCAGCGTCAGTGCTGAAAATAATCAAAAGTCGGGTCACTGAACTGAGTTATCAAAAGCAAGATAATGAACCCAGTATCTGCTCACCCCAAATGCTACTCGTGTGACCGAATATTGGTGTCCGGAGCGACGCGCAACTGCTATGCAAAAGTTGAAATCGCATGCATAATGCTTGCTATTAGTAGCGCACAGCTAATTAAAAGAAACCATTTGGAATTTTCCTGAGACTTATTGGTGCTTTAAGCTAGACCGAGTATAACGCACTCACCGTTAAAACGGTTACCGCGTCCTAAAGGCGTTAAGACGGCTCACGATCCCAAGTTTAATATTTGAGATCGAAAATTAGTGGCGCCGGAAAGATCTACTCAACCTAGGTCTTAAGCTCACCAACGGTTGACCATCATGATCAGTTCCATATTACTGCTTGTCGCGGAAGCGTCAAACATTTTATTCATCATCAAAATTGTTAGTACGGTTTCTTAAGGCTACCCGGTTGGTCTACATCATGACTGGCCAGTAAACAGCCCAGCACGTTCACTAGGCCGCTGAGTCAGATTGAATAGGCGCTACATATCATGGTCAGTTTATTATCTCGACATCTTCGTTATCCGAGGTTTACGAAGTATGATCATGTATTAAAAAAGTCCCATTGTCAGAACTGGCCGCAAAAATGTGTTTGTATCATCATCAGAGCGGATTCGTCAGCACTACCATCAGTATCACCGGCATTGTTAAACTGAGAGCAACTCCACACGGCATATTCCTACATCATCTGCTAGTGGTAATTCACTGGCTATATTGAGCAACATCTTCATAGTAGAAATAAGACTAATGCGAAGCAGCAAATGGAGTGCATATGGCGTACATCATAGTTGCCAAGCCTAGCACAACGACTGAAGATCATTAAAATCACCAATATACCTCTCTTTGCTTTCCACATGTTTGAATATTTGGTGGATATGCAGTACCCAGTAAACTTGGTTATGACTTCTATCTGCTGTAAACTTTGTATTCACTATTGGCTACCACTGAATGAGGAATAACATTTAATGTACTTATTGAATTCGGCCTGCTTAACCTGTCCAACAGAGTGCTTTGAATAAACACATTGTACTTCTGTCACTACCTTCTTGTTTGCTACGTCATGGTTGCCTACAGCAAACTGTTCCGAGTGTTAGCCATAAGCCCCGGGGTCCATTGTTGATGAGTCCTACAACGTATATTCTTTGCGTTCACCCAGTTTGATCGTTTATTTAATATCTTTGAATTTCAAAACTCCGAACTTATTGATACTGATTCCAATATTGTGAGGGAGTTCGTTTGGTCGGGGTTGACACTTTAGTCACTACTAAGAGTCGATTACCGGACTTTGATAAGCAAGAAGCAGAACTGTGGTTTGCTCAGCTG